AATTGTATCCGAAATCCTGAAACAAATAGGCGGCAGAGTCCAGACTCAACGTGCAGATGATCTCTTCAATGACTGAGTCTCTGTTCTTGATGCTAAATTCTACTGCCGTCTCCTTAACCAAACTATGAGAGTAAAAACGTCTGAATTCATCAAAAGTCAAAATTACAGAACAGTAAAAAACACAGTATTTTTAACTTTCAAAGCCATGGAACCAGTCTAACCAAATGAACTTGCAGGAGTTCCGTTTTGATGGATTTATTTTTCTTTTTTTGTATCAGGAATCAAACTCCCTTCATACTTGGCAGGCAAGTGCTATACCACTGAGTTACCTTCCCAGCTGGACTGATTGCTTTTATTTCACATCACTAAAAGTTTATTTTGGTGGTTTGTTTAAGACACGGTATTTCTGTGTAGTCCAGGCTGACCTTGAACTCTAGGTAATCCAGCTTGGCCTCAGATTTTCTGTGGTGCCCTTGCCTCAGCCTCCTCTGAGTGCTGGCATTATGGGCATGCGTCACCACGCCAGGCCTAAATATTTGTTTGCAAAGGTTAACTCCCATACATTTTCCTGACCCTCACAGGACCAGCTCTGCCTGTGTCCAGGACACGCAGCCTGGCTACCAGGTCTAAGCCAGCTCCTGGTGTGCCAGGAGCACCATGAGCTTCTGAACACACGCAGTTAATTCATTCTCATCTAAATCACCCCACATGGTTTCCATCACATTGAAATTAAGAACCACAACACTAGAACTGCACCTTGGTTGCAATGGAAGGTCCAGCATCATTTAGTTCTGGCCCAATGTTTTAAGCAAACACTTTGGGGGAGTCTGGGTCCAAAACCAAGAGATGCATCTGATCCCGCCCAGGCTGGCGACCCAGGGCTGCTTCTGGCCTGCTCTCTAGAAGGCCCAGGATCCCACAGTGGGCTTTGTCCTCCATGCCCAGCACAGGACACCATATACTCAGGAAAGGGAAAGTTGGCTGCACCTCAGAGCTGGCTCCCTGCGGAACAAAACGATTCATTTTGTTTTCTTTCATACTTTTTTCTTCTAGCTTTTTCAGAGTTCATTGTCTTTTCTTTGGGTCATGTGTGCATGTGTTTCCTTTTCAGTGTAGGTTGTTTTCAGTTTTCTAGGGTTCACCTTGACAGTTTACACCAATTGATGCCGGTTTATTATGGGGGCCTGAACCCCAGGAGGCAGGGTAAATTTATTCTCCCCTCCTCCTCTCTCACCCACTCATGACATCCTCACCGGGCCACCCACGGCCCCTGGATGGTATCTGGGCCAATCCTACAGCTCCTGTGACACTTTCCAGCATTGAAATGTCCTACCAAGTGCTTGGAAAAATGGAAACACTTCACCTAAAACTGGGCATCTGACTTAAAACTCCCTTCTTTCTGTCCAGCTGAGTCCTGGCCTGGTGCAGGTAATGGACAATGAGAAAGACGCTGCAGAGGAGGGGGTGCCCAGCCCACCCCTCACTTCCTCCAACTCTTCTTCTGTCCCCGTTCTAGATCCTCAGGGTCCCGGCTCAGGAGAGCAGTTATTTCATTCAGGGTTCGGTGTTTGGTCTCCTGTGGCAGATAGGTCTTCTTTCCTGTTTGATATTCAAATGCTGCTCTTTCCTTAAGGTGCTCTGTGGACACCCTCCAGCCAGGAGCCCCATGCTGCAGTTCCCTGGGACAGTGACAGATGCTCACCCCAGGCTTCTGTGGCCAAGCCCAGGCCAGGCTTCCTGCTCTGTCTGGACTGGCCAGGAAAGGTGACTGTCACTCTAAAGATCCCCTTGCCTCTTCCTGCATTGCGCTTCTTGGTTCCTGTACTTTACATCTTCCGTTTTGATAAATATATATGTGCCTAACTCCTTAAGCAGCTTCTTAGAATCTGGGCATGGAGCTTTGCATGGTGGTGCATGCCTATAATCCCAGCACTCTGGGAGGCTGAGGCAGGATGATTTCAAGTTCAGCCTTGGCAATTTAGTGACTTGGGGAGATATTGTCTGAAAATAAAGCACAGGGTTCAATTCCCAGTACTCAATGTGGGGGAAGGGGGTATCTGAGGATGGGAATGGGAGGTCACCTTTTTGAGAGTTATTTGTTGTTGCTGTGTTTTTCTGTCAAATGTTAGGATTAGAAAGGAAAAGAAAGTTCTCTAAAAGATATAACTGCATATATATTTAAGTGTATAAGATAGATAACCATATTACTGAGGTTTGTTGGATCATTGAACAAAACTGTTTGCAGTCTGTTTGAAAGTCCCCTTTATGTTTTAATTTTGTAACTTCAACAACTATTTCTAAGATGACAATATGTAATTAACTAGTGATTTCCTACTGTTTATTTTTTCTGAAATTCTGTATAACTTTTACCCTTTTTCTGTTCTTTTTTTCTTTTTTCTCCTTAAATAAAATTTTTTTAAAATGCTAGGATTACAAGTATGCACCATCATACCTGGCTTATTTTTGAGATCCTCTATGCATGGAAAAAATTAGCAGTGTGGATGGGCATGGTGGCACACACCAGTAATCCCAGCATTTGGGAGGCTGAGGCAGGAGGATCCTGGCAAGTTTGAGACCAGCCTGGATAACAAAGTGAGCTAATGATCAGCCTGAACTGCATAGTGAGACCCTGTCTCAAAAAGACAAAAACAACAACCACCAAAAAAAAGGCAGTGCAATATACATTCACATTGTATAAATGTATACATTGTATAAATGATCTTCAAAATTTTTGTTCTGTAAAACTAAAATTCTATTTGCCCCTCTCCTAAGCCCTTGGGAATTATCATTCTATATTTTCTTTCTATGAATTTTATTCATATAAGTGAAATCATACAGTACAATATTTGTCTTTCTGTGGCTACTTCTGCCATTAATTTCTGGCTTCATTGCACTATGATCTAATAATATCCATGTGATAAGTTTGATTCTTGTGCATTTATTCAAACCTGATCTATAAGCCAGCATGTGGACTATTTTGGAGACGATTCCACATACTGCTGAGAAGAATGTGTTTCTGTTGTTGCAGGGCAAAACACCCTGGAGATATCTATTAAATCCATTCTCTCCTCAGCCTTTTGGCTAAAATCAAGTGACAGCTATTAAGTCCATTTGTTCAACTCTGATATTTCTTTATTGATTTTTTTTGCTGAGTTGGTCTGTGTTTTTATTTTAACAAGGAACTGAGGTGCCCCACTATAATTTTGCTAATGTTTATAAGTGATCTTTTATATCCAGTAGTGCTTGTTGCTGAAACCTGGGTACACCAGTTTTCAGTGCACATATGTTTATAATTGTTTCCTCTTCTTATAGAATTGTCACTTAACCAACATATAGTGACCTTCTTTCCCTCTTCTGATCAGTTTTGGCTTGAAGACCACTTTGAGAACAGGATAGTTATTCCTACTTTTTATGGGTTCCTGTTGCATGAAATAGCATTTTTTTATCCTTTTATTTGCTAGTCCATGAATTTATTTTTGGATTAAGTGTGTTTCTTGTATTCAGCGTGCCATTGGCTTTTGTTTTTTGATCCAACCTGCCAACCTGTCTTTTGAATGGGGAATTGAGACCATTCACACTTGAGAGTTATTACTATAAGGTACTGCCTTACTCCTGGCACTACATTATTTTCCCACTGCTAATTTCCTATATTTTCCTTCTGCTTAATTGCTCACCCTGCCTGATGTATTCATTCTACTAGACTTTTTGGCATCATTACCTTCATTGTCTCTTTCTGAGGTATCCTTGAAAAATGTTTAAAGTGCTGGTTGGGTGGTCATGAACTTCTTAAGGAGCTCTTTGTCACAGAAAGGCCTTATTTCCCCATCAGTGTTGAAAGTTAGTTTTGAAGCCTTGGTTAGAAGTTGTATTTTTGGTTTTTGGCTTTTTGGGGGGTTGAAACATTTCACTCAATGCTCTCCTGGCCTTTAATGTTGGTGTTTGAGAAGTCTGCGTAATTTTAATAGGTTTATTTTTGTAAGGAATTTGTTGCTTTTCTCGAAGGTGTTAAGATCCTGTCTTTGTGTTGGAATTCTGGGATTCTGACTATGATGTTTTGTGGAGAAGTTCTTTTCTGACTATGGCTATTGGGGTTCTGTATGCCTTGCCTACTTGTATGTTGAATTCTTTCACCATCCTTGGAATATTTTCTGCTATTATTTCTGTAAACAGGTTTTTCTTATGCTACTGATTTTTCACTAATCCTAAGTGACTTTAGGTTAGTTTTTGCTTTGCCCAGCAGTTGTTACATCCATTTTCCATGATCTTTTGTTGTTTTAAAGGTATTGCTGAGTATATGGTCCTCTACATAAGCTCTATCTCCTAATTCTAACAGTCTACCTGTACATTAATTACTTCTATTGCCCATACTTTCAATAGAGTTTTCTCTCCCCTGAATTTCTGTTTGGCACTTTTCATAGACTCTAATTCTTTGCTCAACTGGTCATTCATGTTCTGTATAATTTTATTTAGTTCAAGTAGCTTTTTACTAGTGTTTTCTGTAAGGTCACTGGTCATTTTGTTTAGTAAGTCTATCATATAGTCTATTAGTTTAGTTATATGACATTGAGCTCACTAAGCACCTTATTGATTTTTCCTCCCCTCATTACTTTGTACAATTCAGCAGTTTGCCTTTGATGTCCACCCATTGGTGTCCCATATCTTTGGAGGAGTTGAGAGTATTTGGAGATATTTTGTTGCCCTGTTTTCTCAAGCTTTTTGTTTGCTTGTTTATCTTTTGTGCTGAGGATTGAACATTAATAAAAATGGAAAGATTTTGTGGTTAGTGTGAAAATCTCTCTAGTAACTGCTTTCCAGTGATGCACACTGAGCATGTCTAATTATGGATCTTTGCCTTGATCCCAAGATCTGATCACATCCATTAATTTGGGAAGGATAGGGCACAGTATAAGTGGTCCAGCACCCTGTTCTCTGGAAATGTGCCAGTTAGTATTGATGACACAAAGACAAAGTATCAGCATTCTATATAAAGAAATTCATAGCATTGTAGTAGTTTCTTTCTGGCACATTTGTTAAGTTCTCAAATGGGTCTGACTACCACATACATTGTAAGGACCTAGCAAAAGCTTAAAGACTGAAATATCTCTCTTGAGCCTTTTCTGTATCAGATATTGGCTCTCACAATCTATCTCATAAATTTGTCCTGGAGCACCAGGAAACCAAACAACTCCACCTGTTCCAACCCACTGCCCCCCCCATCTGCCCCCGTGAGCAGCTGTAGGCGTGGCAGGCTACAGTGGCCCAGGACAGGAGCCACTGGTGTTTACTGAGACCCATGCTATGCTGGGGCCTGGAGCACCCAGGAGAGCAAGCAACACCACCCCACCCCACCCCACCCCGCTCCAGTGAGCAGCTGTGAGCGTGGTAGGCTCTGGCAGCCCAGAATGGGAGCCACCGGTGTTTACTGGGACCCGTGCCATGCTGGGACCTGGAGCACCCAGGAAACCAAGCAACCCCTCCCTGCCTGGTGAGTGGCTGTGAATTTGGCAGGCAATGGTGGCCCAGGACAGGAGCCATTGGTGTTTACTGAGGCCCATGCCATACTGGGACCTGGAGCACTGGGAAACCAAGCAACCCCTTGCCCCCTGGTGAGCGGCTGTGAGCGTGGCAGGCAATAGCGGCCCAGCATGGGATCCACCAGTGTTTACTGGGACATGGCCATGCTGGGACCTGGAACACAGGGAAACCAAGCAACCCCTCTCCTGTGGTGAGTGGCTGTGAGCCTGCTGGCACTCAGGCTGAGAATCAAACATCTTGTCTTCTCCACCACCCCTCCTCCCGCCCTGTTAGCAAGTGGGAGCCAGTGATCTGGACATCCCTTGAGAGGCTGACCACAGGCAATGTAGCAAATAAGGGGAATTTCCTTCTACCATCTCTTTGAAGGCAAATACTTTTATGCCTGTTTTGCTTTGTTCTAATTAATGGTATTATTTTAGCCTGTTTTGTTTTGTTGAACTTCAATATACATGAAAGTATGGTCAGTTATACGAGAGACTCTACAACAGCCATTAGTGAATTCCCTATTGTCTGGTTTTGAAGACCCAAAATGACTTCCTCATTCTGTTCAGATCAGTTTTATGCTATGTTGTTTTGTATGAATTCTCTGTATGCGAAGACATGGACAACTATGTGGAAGAAAACAAGAGACAGTATGATAGATAGTAAAGATCTCAGGTCGTCTAGCTTTGAAATTTATATCTCTTACATTGCTTTCTTATATCCTATTGTGTTCTGTTTTGTTGTGTTTAATTTTACCCCCTTTAAAAACATTTTAAAAAAGAAATTAAGAGCAATTATGTCACCATTGGCAATAGCAAATAATAATAATGATAATAAAGGAAAAAGAAAAATTAACAACAATGATACAGTCAAAGACAAAATGAATATTGATATACCATGAGAACCAATAAAAATTATCATCATCCCAACCTTTACAACAGAAAATAGATCTGTACTAATAATATTGACACAAAGACAAACCAAATATCAACAGGGAGTAAATATCTATTAAATGCAACAACTATACCACCATTAATAATAGAAAAAATCAGTAGCAGCATAGTCATCTAAATATCTTTAGATTAATAAAGCTTAATAGTAATACTAATAAAACAGAAATGATGAGGAAGGGAAAAAAATGAAAGCAACTTTAACAAATAAAGAAAAAGATGAGTTGGGGATCTAGCTCAGCTACATAAACACCTGCCTGGCAAGTGCGATGTCCTGGTATAGCTCAATTCCTGGTATTAAAAAACAAAAGCCCAAGGAAAAGATGAGAAGACGGAAAGTAAGGCAAAGGATCTAATTAAAAAGTAAAAGAAAGTTAATAAAATTAGAGAAAAGTAACAGAAAAGAGTGAACAAGAAATAGAAGAAAAAAGTAAAAAAGAGAGCAAAAGGATGGGGAAAAATTTAAACAAAAACCCCAAACTGTCATAAACCAACAAAGAAAAAGGAAAGTCCCCAGGCTTCCTTCACGCTTTCCCAGGGCCGGCAGCGCTGGAATCCACAAACAGGGAGAGAGATGGTGAGAGCTGCTAAGTGAGTTTAGTTTCCGCACTCAGACTTTCAGTCCAGCTGCTGGGACCTGCTCTGCTTTTCCAGCGGGGTGTGGTCAGTAGTGTCTGCCCTCACCTATATGCTGCTGCTCCCAGTTTCCATGTCCCGCTGTGTGCCCCAAATTCTTGCTTTCTCTACCTATTTTTACAGCCTGTGGGTTTATGAGACGGCTCCCTGCTCCAGAGGTTCCTTTTCTGTACAGCCTAGGCTGTGGCAATTATCCAAGCCAATAGTATCCCTGATCATGTTGGCAGATACAGAAAGCACACAGACCACTAAGCTCTGTGCTGGATGAATTGGCCAGCAGAGGGATCGGGCAGTCTGGTGGACTTAACGCCAGCACTTTCAGATCCCGTCCCCTCCAAAAACCACTCACTACCAGTTTGGCTTCTCATCATGGAAGGCAGAATCCTTTCTGGTCTGAGTTTAGATTTCTCAGGGAGTCTGATGTCCAGCCCACACCATTTCCACAGCTGTCTCTTGTTGTTCCCCAGTCACTGTGGTGAAGTAATCCCAGAAGCTCTGAAGTGTAGTTCTGTGGTTTCTGATTCCTGATTAGCTTAGTTTTAAATGATTAACCCCTTCCCCAAATGGCTCCTGGTTAAAGACTCTCAAATCTGGCAGGCACTGTGATGGATTTCTGCTTTAGTCTGCCATGCAACAGTTACTTTAGAGTAAAACCTCACACTGTTTTTGCAGCTTATAATAACTGTGGGCTTTTCATGGGGCTAGCACCACTGGCTCAGTCTGTTGCTTGTCTCTGGCACTGCTGATCCTCCTGCAGCTTACCTTGTGTTTGCAAAGACAGGCATCCTCGGTTAGCACTCCAGCCTGCTTCTTTCTATTCTCTGTGCTGTCTTCAGCTTCTCTGTAGTTTCTAATTTTCCAGGCAGCTCTTCCTTGGTTTCCAAGATCTATTTTTTTTTTCTTCATTAAGTTGCTGTTTTTCAGTTGTCTTTGTTCCATGTCAGAGAGAGGCTGTATCTTGCTGCTGGTCTTAACTTGCCAATTTTCTTTTCTTTTTTTTTCTCTTTTCATGAATATTATGCCATCTAAGAGGAGGCACAACATTTGGAATACAAACTGTAGCACAAGACTACCTGGGTTCAAATCCTGCTCTGCTGCCTGCTAGCTTGTTCAAGTTACAGAATCTCCTTGTTTCCTAATTTTCTTATATATCAAATGAAAAAATGAATTGCCTATACATTAGCATTGTTCTAAGGCTTAAGTGGTTAACAACACTATGCCAAGCAACTTAAGTACTATATTTAACTCTCTAAATATTACAGTATAATTAATTGTGATTTTCTTCTTCTCTTTCCTGTGCTGTTTTTTGTTTTCTTTTATTCTATTCACTTGCATTTCTATTTTTTATGTAAAAGCCTTCCTTGTGTTTGGTTATTATCTTAGTCTATTTTCTGTTATAACTAAATATCTGCCATGTCCCGCACAGTCCTCAAACTTCCTGGGGAGCCAACAGTGGAGGATAAAGAAATGAGGACAAGAAGCAGAACGCAGAAAGCTGAGGTCAGCTGGAGCCTTCTCTCTGAAGGGAGAAAAGATCTGCTCAGTGACTGCAGCTACACACAGGAGGCTATTGTTAGTAGAAACCCTTCTGCCTCGCAACATGATTGTTCAGCTCACCTCCGAGATCTCTGGCTTTCTTGGAGCTGGAACAGTTCATGCATGTGGCTCACCTCAGGTGCTCTGTATGTATAATCAATCCCCAGATTCAGTCACTGCTCACAATACCTGTGACTAGTACATTTAAAGAAAAGAGGCTTATTTAACTCACAATTTGGGAGGTAAAGAGCAGAGTACAGGCATCTGCTAATTTCCGTGATGGTCTCATTGAGGATGGACCTCATGGAGAAGCAAGAAATGAAGAAGGGCCAGTCTTGCTCTTCAGCAAAACCACCCCAGCGGGAACTTATCTACTTCCACTAGACCTGTCCAGAGGCTCTGACCCACCATGCCCACAACCTTGGTGCTGCCATACTGGGGACTGAGCTTTCAGGCACATGAACCTGAGGGCACATGAACCACACTCAGACTATAGCACTTAGCTTGCTTATACTTAGGGGCTGGCATTAAAATGCAGAATGAAAGTTCTCTCTGTAAGGGCAAAGTTTGTCAACTAGTGTGTACCAACAACAAACCGTTCCCCTTTCCCTGCCCTGATAGAATTGGATACCCTGTGAGGTCAGGATCTTATTGGTAGTTACAGTATTCCCAGAATCTCTAGCATAGTAGCATCAATAGCATCTCTAGCATCAATAAATATTTGATGTCATTATTAAACCTCTCTGAGCCATACTTTTTTATATGAAAAGTGCAGTAAAACATTTACCTATGCTAGAAGAATTTACAGCCACCTAAAACACCTAGCATAATAGTATTTAATGGATACTCAATATATAACTAGCAATATTATCACTATCATTTCCACAGGCAACAGAGCTCCTGCTTCATGACTGTGCTCACCACTGACCATGCTAAAAATAGAGGGAAGTATGGTACTTGTTGAGAGGCTAGTTTACTTATTAGGTACAAGTAAAGCAAGGAGAGGACTCAAGATAAGCGCCCTTGACATTCAGTGTGTAGAAATCCTAAGAACACTGGCTTCAATACTGATCTCGAAAGCAGAAAGTAGATAGTGACGCTGCTTCACCAAGTATCTCAGTGAAGCCACCATTCACACGGATGTTCTTGCTCTGTTTATCACAATAAAGGATGGGAGGAGGCCCAACGCCTCGCGCACCCAAGACTAGAGTTTTTAAACTTAAATAGTATGTGCTATAATCTTTTTAATCAATCGGTACAAAAAGATGCAGTGGAAAAGACAGCATCCATGTCACCTCCAAATCTTCATGCAGGTTCTTATTATCAATATTTTTAATGTATACACTAGAATATATGCATAGTTTTTCACAGATAGAAATCATTAAAAATACACTGTTCTTGATCTTGCTTTTTTTCTTCCCAATTTATCTTTCCAAATCAGTACTATGTAGAGACTTACCTCATTTTTAACAATTACACTATTCATAAGGTAATATAACAGATAAGTCCCCAGATCTTAATGGCTTAAAGTTTACTTTTCACTTAAATCCAATTGGGAGTTGAGTGGGGAGTGGGAGAAGGCAGGTGTTTTGCTCCCAGCACTTATTCAGGAATCCAGAATGACTCATGGCCCTGCCAACTTGAACATGTGACTTCCACATACTTGGTAGCTTCTAAAGTCACCCTGGATGGCAATATCTAGCTATGTCTAAAGGTGATGTTAAGTGCTGTTACCCACAATCCCACTGGCCAGGCCTGGAAGACCCCTATCCTAGAGCAGTGCTAGCAGTTCTGGCCGACCGCTACTTCCTTGCCATGACTGGACACTGCACAAGAGAGGCGTAAATATCTGACCAACATTTAAATACATCTGTCACAACTGCACAGTAGGAATGCATCCTAATTTAGTTACGATTTCTTTCTTTTGATTTATTTATTATTTATTTATTTTTGGTTTTTTGAGACAAGGTCATGCTGTGGAGTCCAGGCTGGCCTTGAAATCACTATACGTAGCCTCGGCTGGCCTCGCATTCCCCGTGGGCACTAGCCTCCTTAGTGCTGAGATTACAGGCATGTGCCACCATGCCTGGATTTCAACTTTTGAAGGATAATTTTCCTTATTGCCTCTGTTTTTCTCATCTTTTGTCAAAAGCAAGGTTTTGCTGGGGCAGGCAATCCATTGCTAGAGGACAAACCTCTTGCTCATGCTAGGCAAGTTCTCTACCTCTGAGCTGCATCTCCACCCAAAGGCAAGTTTCTAAAGTATGGAAAAATATTACCTGATAAGAATGAAGAAATAAGCAAATGCACATCTATAACCACTGCTTCTGGGTATGCACCTGGTCCAGCTTTGGCTTGGTAGAAAGAAGACTATCAACTGAAGACCTTTAAGCCATAGACTATCAATGGAAGACCGGCATGTCTTTAAAGGATGTATGCCTTTGACTTAAGGACATTTCCTGTACAAATTAGTGGATCACTGCTCTCATCTGTACTTCTGGTATGAGAACATTTACAATAGGATTAGGAATATAGCTCAGCGGCACAGGGGCCTGCCTGGCAAGTGCAAGGTCCTGAGTTCAATTCCTAGTACCAAAAAAAGGTGTTTACAATAATAATATTATAAGGAACTTTTTTTTTTGTCTTTTTCAGTTTTTATCGGTACCAGGGATCGAACTCACAACTGCCTGCTTGCAAGGCAGGTGCTTATGCCGCTGAGCTAAATCTCCAGCCCCTATTATAAGGAACTTTATGTACATTATAAGTAATCTAAATGTCCAGCAGTGACATGTACAGTGTTGAAATCACTGTACCTCCATATAATGGGATAGTATGCAGATGTCTAAAATAATTATTTAGATATCTGAAACAAAAATATGTCCATGACATATTATAATAAAAAAGACTCATATAGTATAATTTTTTAAACAAGTTGATCATTTGTAGTGAAAAGGATAGAGGCCCATACATCCAAATGTTTACAATATTTGTCTCTCAGGGCTGGGGATTTAGCTCAGAGACATAAGCACCTGCCTTGCAAGCAGGCAGTCGTGAGTTTGATCCCCAGTACTGATTAATAAATAAATAAATAAACTGATTAATAAATAAATAAATAAATAAATAAAAATTAAAAATAAAAAAACAATATTTGTCTCTCTATAGTACACCAATTTGCATTTTTACTTTCTTTTGTATCTTTATGCAATATCTCAATATTTTATTATTAGAAGAAACAACATACTTTCAGCTTGAAATAAAGAGAAAGAGAGCGATAAAGGGGATTAGGTGATTAAAGGCAAGTATGCGTGTTAGGCACAGCCTTCCAGCCCCTGCTGCCTGCTGGATCTGTCATCTGACACTCAAGTTGCTATCAGGAGCACTCTTCTCTGTCAAGGTGACTGGCTTTTGTCCTGCTATCTCTAGGTTATAAGGAGGGGAGGGAAGCCTCAGGGCAGTGAGCAGAACAGCCCCACTGGTGAGTCAGTGGGCAGGGGCTCCCTGTCTCTAGCTGCACATGGGGAACATCATCAGGGCCCTCATGGCCTTAATCCCTGCTGACCGCTGCCAGAACTACGTGGTCAGAAACCTCCAGGAGATGCCACCGGACAGGACGGTGGATGTGAGTGGGAGCCGGCTGCGCCGTCTCCCTGGGCATGTATGCGCATTTACAGAGCTCGTCAAGCTCTACCTGAGTGACAACCATCTCAGCAGCCTGCCTCCAGAACTGGAGCAGCTGCAGAACCTGCAGATCCTGGCTTTAGATTTCAACAACTTCAAGGCTCTGCCCCAGGTAGTGTGTACGCTGAAACAGCTCTGCATCCTCTACCTGGGCAACAACAAACTCTGCGACCTCCCCAATGAGCTGAGCCTGCTCCAGAACCTCCGGACCCTGTGGATTGAAGCCAACTGCCTCACCCAGCTGCCAGATGTGGTGTGTGAGCTGAGTCTCCTTAAGACTTTGCACGCAGGCTCCAATGCCCTGCGTCTGCTGCCAGGCCAGCTCCAGTGTCTCCGTGAGCTTCGGACCATTTGGCTCTCGGGCAACCTGCTGACTGACTTCCCCACTGTGCTGCTTCACATGCCCTTCCTAGAGGTCATTGATGTGGACCGGAACCGCATCCGTTACTTCCCCAGCCTGGCCCACTTGTCAAGTCTGAAGGTGGTCATCTATGATCACAATCCTTGTAGGAATGCACCCAAAGTGGGCAAAGGTGTGCGACGTGTGGGAAGATGGGCAGAGGACACGCCTGAGCCTGACCCCAGAAAAGCCAGGCGCTATGCATTGGCGATGGAAGAAAATCAGGAGCAGCAGGCACCTGTCCCACCTCCTGTCCTCCCTCCTTCCAGCTCCTAAGAGCTGTAGTTGTAGGTCAGGCCCAAGGACCCTCTCCTGCATGCTCTGAAGACCTCTCATTCGACGGGAAGGGATTCTTCTGTGGCATTGGAAGGGGCTATTGGAGAACCAACTGAAAAGCCATAAAGGAACACTGAGAAAACAAACGTCCAACAGCATGTCTTTCAAAGGGAACTTGTGCCTTGTCAGTATCTGAGCTACTCAGAGTGAGCATAACTACTTCGCAGGAAAATGGTTTCTCCCAGGAAGTATCTTGAAACACTGAAGGATGAGAGGGGCCGGGAGGGACACTGACCTCCTCCTTTCTGCAGCAGTCGCTGGTCATGAAAGTCGTGAACTCTTTAAATAAGGTACTTGTTAAAGAACCCACTGAATGTTCAGATGGCCTGTTTCTAGCACTTTGCAGGTTTTCTTTATTGTGAGTGACCGTGAATAGTATCTATGCATTGTTACTGATCCAGGCTACTAACAATAGGACATTTCTACCTACTCTATCGAATTCACAGAAAAAAAGCTGTTTGTTTTGCAAAGGCTCCAGATGAAACATGTTCCCCAGCAGTTTAACACCTTTGAAGACTCCCACTGGAGAAGGCTTCTTGGTGGGGTCCAGGTGCTAGTGGTTCACATTGATTTTGCTCATTTTTCCTTAAAAGTCTGGCTCAGGGTCTGCTCCAAACTATGTATTGTCACTGACAGCCTTAGGAATCATCTGGAAAATAAGACTTCTGAAATGTAGTCTCACTAATGTTAAGTCTCAGTGATTCCTAGCCAACCCCCTTCTACCCCCAGCAGAGCCCTCCTGTTCACCAAAATGAGGCTGAATGGAATCCCTGTCCTCGGAGAAAAACCACATTTCTAGACTCATACTAAGTGAAGGGGGGTGGTGAGAACTCTGTTCAGTTGAATCTTGAATTGCAGGTTTTGGTTATGCTAGCCATCTCTCTGCCCTTTGGTCTCAGTGTTTTTGTTTTCGTTCCCGTTTGTTTTCATTTTTAAAGACAGGGTCTGTTGACAGAGCATAAACCTATAGTATGCTGGTCATTATTTTTTGGAAAGGTATGAACTTTAACCTTCCCATGAATACATAAACTTCAGAGAAATTGCTGTCAGTGTTAACATACCTTTTCAGAAACAAGGACACAAGAAGCGTTTTTCTAACCAAAACAAACTGTACTGAGCTCTTAAAAAGTACTGTTCCCAGAACAGCATCTTAACCCAGCAAAATTTTGTTCTAAAATAATATAACGAAGCAGACTACTTTTATGTGTGGTTTTGTACTAGCAATATTTCTTGCTGCCCTAGAGGAATTTCTATGATATCACATAATTTCTTCCTGTCACCAGTCAAGCATCTGCTACCCACCAATCCAACTGCCAAAGGATCCCTTTGGTCATTAAATTTAATAAGCTTATGCCTATAGGTAAATCATATTTTTCCTTTAGTAATAAGCCCAGATTTCAATTTGACAGGATTTATAGTCTCTTTTCATTCCTAAGCATGGAAATAAAATACATACTCAGTGCTGAAATCAAGTATTTGCCGGTAAGAATTTACCTTCTAAGCTTTAGCTCCACCAGAGCTTATGGATTGCTGACTTCTTTTAACCTGGCTTCTCTACCATTACCCCCAAGATTAATGACTCCACCTTTTTCACCATGGCTGCAGGGTATAGCCATAAAACAGAGAAGTCAGTTGATCCATAAGAGCTTGTACTGGAGGAAAAAAAAAAAGCTTTCATCGCATAAGCTAACTGTTCTGAATCAGATGTGGAAATTATGAATATTTTGGCTTAAAGTCAAGCTGTTTTCTCCTAAAACAATCAATATACAACAAATAAACATTTCTCAAATAATATGGTTAAACGATTTTGCTGTCCAAACATGTTTTCACTGTAGGTTTTCAATGAATTTTATAGTGTATCAATGCCTACTTCTATTTCTGTAGTTCAATTTGATATTTTCTGGAGACACTGACATCACAGGCAGTAAGATAAAGGGAGAATGTTGAAGCACTAAACAGAACTTTTTTTTACCCTGAGTGTTGAAACCTAAAGCACTCATGTATCAGAGGGTATCTTGTATCTTGAGGTACTGGGGATGGAACCCAGGGCCTCACACATGTGAGCCAAGTGCTTTACCTCTGAGCCACACCATCAGCCTCCTCCAGACCTTTATATAAGGCTTTTAACTTCCAGAAATAAGAGCAAGGCCAATTAAAATAAAATGGATTCTATGAAATGAATCTGCCATCAAGTTTTTCATTTTGTCTTAAAATGTAGCACAATAGTTTAAGTACATTTAAAAAGGGGCATTTGTCCTAAAAATCAAGTGAAGTGAAGCAACTTTAAACTGAAAGCATGCATCAAACACACAATGATCCAGCAGTCTAGTATCCTGGATAACAGCAGCCCTCAGACCACCGGCTTTATATCCCAGCTGTGCCTTTGTTGGCACTGTGTACCTGCTTCATCAGTACAATGGTAAAGGTCTACCTCGTAGGGCCCTATAAGAATTCAAACATTTACTGTATTTAAAGGGATAGAACAGTAGTTGGTGTGTGACAATAAATGTTCATATAACATTCTTTTACTACTATACGAGGTAGCCTAACACTTATATTTACTCCAAAGTCAGTATAATTTCTTGCTTGGTGGAAAAACATAAACTATAGAATCACAGCCACCACCACCCCAAACCCCACCATGAGTAAATTTTTCAGCCATAGAACCTAGTCCTGATAATAAGAAATATAACTGCAATTTGGTCAAATGTTTCTGGATTACCAAAGTTCAACACACAGACCTGAATACCATGAATTCATTCTTTAAATTTCTAAATGAATGCTCTTTGTGTCTTCTGTGGATTCTGAATTACAAAAAATCACCAAACTTGAATGGTGCCAGATACTTTACTGCCTTGTCATTGCAAAAAGAAAAATGTATATTCTTTCTAATCTCATTACCCTAAAAGAACACTAATGCTTATTAAAAGAACAAAGCATACATGCCTTTCTTGCTCTTTTTGAGCTGTCCATACTCCTGCAGAAGAGGAAGCAGGTCTCATTTAGTTTTGCATCCCCAGCGCATAGTGAGTTCTGTCATGTCACTTGAATACTGAAGATTTTATCATACAACCAGCCCAGACGAGGAGATAGGCTGACACTATTAAGGTCTGGTAGTATCTTCAGGCCCTTATGTAAGTTAATACACTTAATCCTTTTCATTCTCCTCTGCAAACAGGAGTTACATACTGTTTACAATTTTAAATCAGGGAGTTAGGGATTTAATTTACTGGCAGTGTGCATGCTTAAGATGTATGAAACCCTCAGGTCCATCCCAGCATCAAAAAAAATTGAATACGTTATCAGGAATTTATTTTTATCTTTATTTTTCATATGGGGGAAATAGGAAAAGTCCTATAGTAATTCTATGGTCTTAAGACTTATGCTTTTATTGCTCTAATGTACTCCTAAGTAAAGGCTGATTCGGTAAGTTTTATATAGAAAGCTCTATTCATTTTCATCATTCAGGGTCCTGACAAGAATCTGCATGACTAGACAGAATAAAGTACAGGAAAAAACTAGGCAATACTATTGCAGACAGTTACCTACAGTAGCCGATGTTACTCACCCATAAGGCTGAGTGAACAGGAAAAAGAAATATATACCCAAATCTGTTAAGTGCAAAGAGCCCCAAAAGAACGGCTGCCTAGCAAAGATATAGTATGTCTTGCAGAGATGCAGCTACTCCCAGAAAAAGCAAAGACAGGAAAAGAGTAAAGACCACCTCTTTCCATTTGTGTCAGCACCTCCTGAGTTACACCACGGGGCACCAGCCCCTGGGAGATGTGACACAGCTAGCAAGGGTAAGCCTCAACAGCTTCCAAGAAGGAAAAGGATGACCTCAGCACATCAATTACCAAAGAAAAACAACCGGTTACTAGATTCAACAACACAAGCACTTAAAACAACTTTCCACACAGTGATGGTAACCACTGTAGATTCCACATTATTTTTACTTTTATGGTGCTGGGAATTGTACCCAAAGCCTCACACATTAGGTCAGAGCTCTCCCACTGAGCTGCAGCACCAGCCTATTCTTTTCAAAACGGTTTTAAACTCCATCCTACAACCATTACAGGAATTTTATCTACTAAATGAAAAGATTTAAACATTTGTACACTTGGTATTTTTCTAGGCCCAAAACCGCTAACGGCTGTTAATGGCTTCAAAGATGAACTCCAGAAGTGCAAGCAGGGCTGGAGAAGCAGCCGAGTGATTAGGTACTTGCCAGTCACGTGCAAGGCCCGAGGCTCCATTCCTGGCACCACAAAAGGATCAGGAAAGGGGCCTGGGTGTATCCATAGATAATGAAGTCCCCACACTTCTCTGTTTTTAAACTGTTAGGACTAGAATACTTGCTGGTCTATCCTTTTTAGCATCTTCAGAGAAAACATACCCAGCTACACTTTGATACTAAGATGTAATGAACCCTAAGTTATCTACATCCCCCTGAAATGGTTACAGGTTTTGTCATGCTTCTGTTCTGCTTTAACATAGGGTTCAAAACTGACCTATGCAAAAATCATGGTTTTAGTCTTGGGGAAGTAGGCAGTTAAAATGGGCTCTCACTAATTAGCTCAGGCTGGCCTTGAACTCGCAAAGTACTGAAAACATGGAGACAAATTTTCTCAAGATTGGGGTCTATGCTGTCCGGGCTTACCTCAAGCTCATGGGCTTGCATGATCTTCCTGTCTCAGCCACCTGAGTAGCCAGGACTATAGGAACCTACCACTGTGCCCAGGAAGAACGTCTAGACACTCCTTTGCTCCCAAGGTTAGTGCCAGTATTATCTTTGAAAACCCTTTTGCTCCTTTACTGGACCAATCCTCAATGTTACCACAGAAGACAGCTGGTCTAACTATGTAAGTTACTACTGTGGCTTCTCGTTTCCTGTACATTCTCCACAAGTGTTAACTTCCAAACTCAGCTAAGGATAACTGGGCGGTTGAGAGCTTATCTAGCATGTATGAGCTCCCAGGCTTGATCTCCAAATACAAAATAAAAAATTTACATATCTGAAGTTCCCTTCAAAAAAATCCAGTACTACCGATACATATTCTCATCTCCCATCTACTTACCAAAAACAAAACCCTTAACAAAAATCAGTATATTCAAAAAATTTAGAGTACTGAAAGAATAAGGTACTTTCACTACACAAAACTGAAATGGGTACTAGAAGTTATGTGTGAGAGAGCATTATCTATGACCCAGCAACAAAACTAAAAGATTAATGTATGGTGTTTATCACATTTGACTTGGGCTTACATTAATCAATATATTCATTTCATAAAGTGTAAGATCAATCATTAAGTAGAACACTTCTGTACCACAAATCATTTCCAGTTAGTAGATTTTAAACAGGCACATAAGATCATTAAGATTAAGTACTCTTTAAGTTTTTTTATTTTAGTGACTGTAAGAGAAATGGACTTTTATTATCAACTGAATTGTATGGAAAATCAAACAGCAAATAAATTAGACCTCTGTTAAAACAGAAGATCAACTAAATGTAAGAATATAATGGACACAGATAAATATCAATTCCACAGTCTTCTTTACGAAATTAACACAATTCTTCTGTGAACTGGTCCAGGTATCAACAACACATGGGAATGCTTAACAGGGATGGTGATCAGGAACACGTTTCCTGTAAGAAAAAAAACATAACTAAGAAAAAAGGAGGGCTAGAATCAATCCCCAGTAGTACTGCCACCAAAAAAAAGTTTACAGTAAAAATGAAAAACATGATTTTAACTCAAGTTGTATACTAAATATAAAAACAGCCAGAATCCTAATTTTATCAAAATCATTATAGTTCAATCTTATGTAAGAAGGATCTTTCTATCTCATGACTAACATTCAATTACTATGTTATCAGTAATAGGACATTAGAAAACGGGGAATATGAAGGGCTGTAGATACTAAGCAACTTTCAACTTCTCAATCCTACAACCTACTTAACCAAGATATAATCTCCAGAAAAAGGTTAATTCATGCTGGCGTGTGTGTGTGTGTGTGTGTGGGGGGGGGGTGTATAAAGTATATAAACATTACCCAATTAGTCAAAGATAGTTACTGTCTTTGTAAAATGACAAGATATTGTTCTGGATACTGTAGATAAAAGCTACGGGATCAAAACTGCTGCTGCCAGCCTGGGCTACAATGTTGAGTTCAAGGCCAACCTGAACCATATAATAAAATCTTGCCTCAAAAAAAGACCAAAAACAAAAACAAAACAAAAAACTGCCACCAACAGATAAGCTGGTACTTGGGTAGGATAACTCACTCTAGAATGCCAATATCCCTCGTACCTTTTATTTTTGGAGGACTATATAGTGAAGAGGCATATAAAAATCTTTTGGAAAGGGGACAATAGGGGTACTAGGTTAAGTTTTTAATTTGATGCTTTGAGGAGCTCAAATTTAAGAAACAATTTCTAAAGGCAAACAAAATAGTGATCAGACTCCAAGAGTATTATACTAAGGTTATACAGAGGTAAACCTTCCAAACTCAGCAGCTTATGGAAGAAGCAGAACACTAATCCGCATCAAAAAGTCATTATTGATTCAGGGTACAACTGGACATGGGGGCACATGCCTATAATCCTAAAATCTGAGAAGGGGATGTAAAAGGATTCCTGCAAGTTCAAAGCCAGCTTGAACTACACAGCAAAATCCTGTCTCAAAAAAAAGGAAGATAGTAAACCAGGCATGGTGCTATACCCTTGTAAAATCAGCCCTCTTAGAGGCTGAAGTAGCCATGATCTGAAGTTCAGACCCACACTGGGCAACTCAGCAAGACCCTGTCTTTGTAAAAATAAAAAGGAGCTGGCAATGTGCAAAGGCCCTGAGTTCAATTCTTAGTACTGAGGAAAAAGAGGGAGAAGATAAGGGGAGAGAAGGTGGGAAAGAAAGGAGGAAAGGAAAAAGAAAAGGAAAGACACGAATGTATGTGGAAGTATACCGAGAGCAACAGCGGGAGCTGGCTGACCCTGGCAGAGACACAGGCACCTACTGCAGCACTCCACACTTCCTACACACCCCACAGCCCGGAGTTCCCTGGTACGTGACTATACCAAGCCCGAGAACTACGCTGGCTGTTTCCGTGTCTCTTTCCTAAGCTTTTCTGACATAGGTCTATGAACTGTTATTATGTATTTTAAATAACTTGGATATACTTTTAAACTAGGCCATGTTTCCATTTCCATTAATTATAATTATCTACTTGTAAACAGAGTTCCCTGATTTTTTCTCTGAGAATAAACATGTTCTGTACCTTGGTGCTGCTTTGATGATGTTATCCACACGCAGAATCACCTCTGCTGCTTCTGCTGCACTCAAAAGAACCTGTCGCTTCACTTGGAAACTTTCCGTTATACCCAGCACTGCCATATTTCCAATAGTACCTTGCTTCATATCTAAAAACACAAGAGACATATCTACTAAATACACAGTTGCTTAGCCATTGTGGTATGAAAACCTAATGATTTACAATAAATAAAACTGAACGTGACTGTCCTAAAAAAAAATTACACCAACATACCCCTCGATTTAGTTAGCAATCAGTCCACACGGTACTTGAGGAAAGTCTTTTAAAAATTAAAAAGCAGGGTCAGAGACTTAGCTCAGTGGCATAAGCCCCCGCCTGGCGAGCGTGAGGTCGTGAGTTTGGTTCCAGATACCAAAAATAAATTAATCAGTAATTTGTCTTTATACCTACACATAAAATTATTATAGCAAATCAGAATCCTAAGAATTTATAAGTCATCTCTCCAGTTTTTGCTGAGAATCTTACTTCATCTTTGGAGATGACAAATTTCTTATCCAAGAGTAGGATTATCTGCCTTTTAACAGTTCCTATAATGTCTTGTCACAAAAACTTGCAGTATTACATTTTCCTTACTGGTCACTTTTATCTATGGATTATAAATCTACACTCAAGAATGTTACTAAAATAAGGTTACTCTAAAATTAAAAGTTGACATTGATTATATTCAAGAAATATACTGTAATCCTAGCACTTGGGATAGAGGCAGAAGAATCATTGCAAATTCAAGACCAATAAGGGCTACAAAAGTGAACTGAAGACCAGTGTTAACTGCATAGTGAGACCCTATCTCAAAGACAAAACAAACAAAAAACCCCAGTATAATACAGTTTACATTTACTTCAGAATACAAACATTATGTCAATATATATGTATCAAACTACTTACAAATCTTCTAGTTTTATACCTCTTATGGTAGTAATGAGAATATGGAGGTAAACATTGTCTCAGTATATATACATATAATTGTTACACAGGGTCTTTTATACAGTCATCCTAAGAATTTTGATCTCCTAAGAGAAATGAATGAGTTACTTTTTACTACAGTTCCACATGATTACTTACCTAGTCCAGCAGTTACTTTGCCTTCACTGTGAGCGGCTCGGAGTTGGGCCACCAGATCTGCACTGTCATAACCTGCATTGTCAGCTATGATGGTGGGCAACTATGAAACAAAGACAGCAGGTAAGTACCTACTCTAAGAACAGTTTATAACTCCTACCTAGAAAGATAGCTTTTTAAACTATACATGTAATACAAAGTAAAATCTGCATCATTTTAATCATTAATTCTGGAGGGGAGATGAGACAGGGTCTCACTGTGTAGCACAGGCTGGCCTTGGGCTCACACAGCCTCCTGCCTTAGCCTCTCAAATGCTGGGATTACAAGTGTGAGACATCACACCTGGCTAGTTATTGATCTTGGAAAGTGTAAAATCCAAACCAAACTTAAAAACTGTATGAGCTAGCTCATTTTCTTCAAGTCAAGAGTGTAACTGTTTCCTAAGATAGAAATATGCATTCATTTTAAAACAGTATGCACAAAATTTAAGTTCAGAGCTTATTTTTATTAACTTGCCATTCTCAGGGCTTTAGCGAAGGACTCCATTGCAACAGCTTCTTTTCCTGGTGTTCTATTGGCAAGCTGTGTCACAGCATGAGCCATCAGCATCTCAGAACAGCCTACAAATTAATTCCAAAAAACTACTGTTATGCCTAATTGTTTCTAGAAATTGCTGACTTCCCTTAAGACAGCCAAGAATTTTAAAATTTAAGTTCAAAGGCCATAGTTTCTGCAAGAACCACTAAAGCCATTTAAAGCTTATCACACTTTAAGAAATAGTGTTTATTACTGGCTGGGGATATAGTTCAGTGGTGCAGCCCAGCATGCACAAGAGTCTGGGTTCAATCCACAGTGCAACAACAATCAAAAAAAAAAAAAAAAAAAAAAAGAGAGAGAGAAAGAAATACTCTTATAAGTGCTGATTATTTTCTAAATACTTACCTCCTCCATAAACTGTTCTAGGGTCCTTCACGGTTTGGGCAAGAACACAAAGAGCATCATGCAATGATCTTTCCGCTTCATCTAAAATTTGTTGAGTGGCACCACGCAAAACAATGGTACAAGCCTCACCTAAAGTTAAAACAAAATATTCTTATGCCACAGTGACCACTTCCTAGTCATAGAACACAAAAGTTTGCCTTCTATTATTTATGTAGCTGTTGGTAATTTTGAGGTCTGTAAGCTGCTGTCCTTCACTACATGTTTTCATTCCTAGTAATCCATGTTCATGATTCTCAATCTCAAGAAAAAAAAAAAAAAGCTAAATATATATGCTTCACAAAGACCCAGTAAATACGAAGTAAATCTCAAGTGTTAAAACTTACAACATATCATATTCTAGTGCTGGAGAAATGTTTTTGTTCACTTCATAGAGCCCAGCAGAAATTTAAGCACCTAAACCAAAATCTACATCATTTCTTACCCAGGGCAACCCCAGAGAAGTGAATGAGTTTGTCTTCTCCAATCATGACTTCTTCAATAAGTTTGCAACTTCCAAGCTTCACCAGTTCTGGATGATCAAAAGTAGAGGCAATTTCACCACCTATGAACATAAATAAATATTAATGAAATGCTTAGATTTAAAATTGGCTCTCAAGTAAGCATGAGAAAAGGACTTAGCATCTTTAATAATACAACAAAAAGTAATCCATAGCTATGACAAGCCTGATATATAATTTGGTAGCTAGTTAAAGCATTCCTTAGCTGAAATTCAAAATCCCAAACTGAAAATGTACTACCACAAGGGAATATTCCAAATCTGACCACATGGCAGTTCAGTCAAAATGCAGGTATACTGAAACATACTACATAATATCACCACCAGACTGCATATCACGTATACAAAATATAAATGAATTTCATGTTTAAACTTGGGCTCCTTTCCCAAGTTCTCTATGCATATACAAATATTCCCAAGTAAAAAAATTCCAAAATCCAAAACACTGATTTCAGATAAAGAACACTGAGCTCCAGTGGCACACTCAGTAAACACACATTACTTACACAGATAATATAACAAAATTAGCAGCATCCACAAGTATAAATCAGATTTTAGAGTAACTATTTAGACCCTAAGCTCCTTAAAGATATTTTTTCATATTCCTAACAATTTAGCAACCCTCATAAATCCCAATAATAACTATATTTTTTAAGCAATTAACTCCTGTTAAACCAGGTGTGGTGGCACATGCCTATTAATTCCAGCATTTGGGAGACTGAAGCAGGAGGATCACTGCAAATTTAAGGGCAGCCTGAGCTACAAAGTGAGCTCAAGGCCAGTCTGAACTGCATAGTGAGACCTTGTCACACACAAGAAATTAATTCCTTTTTCCCATACCTGTGACAAGAGCTAGGCGCTCCACACCTGCAAAATCTGCATGCTCAATAGCCATGACACCAGCAGCACCAAAGAGCTGTTCAGGGTAATTATAAATTAACTGCCTGCAAATAAAATACATAAAGACATTTACACTTAAAACTGTCAAAATAAATTAACAAACACATTCTTACCTCATCAAAAGTCAAAGAAATACAAGAACAAGTTACCATTTGCAGCTATGCAATTTTAATTGTAATGAAGCTGCATTAGCACTGAAGACAGCTGCTGATTATATTACTGTTGACCAAGTCTGGAAGTTAATTCAGTAGTAACGCATCAAAAACCTTATCCACTGGGGCTGGGGATTTAGCTCAGCGGCATAAGTGCCTGCCTTGCAAGCAGGCAGTCATGAGTTCGATCCCCGGTACCGATAAAAAAGAAAAAGACAAAAAAAAAAAAAAACCTTATCCATGTTTATATGCTTTAATTCCTGGTAATCTTCAGCCAGAAAACTAAATGCTGCTTCTAAGAATTTTCATAGACTATACCCTGGCCCTATCTATGGTTTCACTCTCCTAGGTTTTAGCTACTCATTGCCAACTAAGTTCCAATTTGTTTTCTGAAATATTTAAAGAAATATTTAACAAAAAACTTCAGAAATACTTCATCAGTTTTTTAAACCATGCCCACTCCTTAATAGCTTGATAAAATCCTGTGCTGTCTAGCTGCCTCTTATGCTCTAAACTGTCCCCCTGAATGGTATATCCACAGTGCATGTTCTAGCCATGTGTTAATCACTTAGTAGCCATCTAGACTTATCACTGATGTATCTCAAGGTCTCTCTCATCAAATAACCTGTAGACCATATGATGTCACAATGCCTAAGTAATTCACCTTGTTTCATCTCACAAGAAAGGTGAATATAGTATAATAAGGTAACAAAGATACTGAGACAACACTCATGTTACTTTGGTTATAGTGTAGCTGTAATTGTCTTACTTTATTATTAACCTCTTATTGTGCCAAGTTTACAAACTGAACTTTTTAATCTTCGCTAAGCATGGAAAAAAGTTATCTAAACAGTTCAATACTACCTGTAATTTCAGCTATACACAGGGCATCTTGGGGAACATATCTGCAGATAAGGTAAGAATACTGTCCAACATAAAACTTGGCAGTGATTTAAACACCCACTATGAGTGTGTGTAAAATTGTTAATCATAAAAATCTGTAATTTTTTTAAAATTTGTATTTTTAAGCACAAATGTTTAGCAGTTTCTGAATAACATGTCATTGACTCAAATATAAAGTGCTTCAACAAATTTTTCATACAAAAATATCAACTGTTAAGATTACAAAAATTTGTTAGCATAAACACAGACCTGTTAATAAAACAATTTATTCCATGCTTAAGAATACGTTCAACTTTCTCCTTCATTTTTTCTTTTTCTGCATGTTCTATTTCTGCAACCTTTGCTGTAGAATCAACTCTTACTCGGGAACCAAATATCTAAAACAAAGAAAAAAATAAGCATAGCATCTGCTTCATTATTCTAAAAACCACCAATTTAAATTTCAAGAAATGTAATTACATACCTTTATTTTGTCAGTATCCATTCCAGTATTTGCAATAAGAATTTTGGCATTTTCAATTCGCTTTGGTTGATTTACTCCAATTTTTTTATCCAACAGAAAGCCTACCATAAAAATAAGGACACTTCAGGACTACAACAGTAAATCTTATAAAGCTGTCTAGTTCAAATTACTAACCAAAAAAATTCACTTAAGTTTGATTTACCAAGCTCCTAGAACAGTGGTGATGAACCGAGGGCACATAGGCCACAGTGGGCTGTTCCTTATCACTGAAACTTATAAGGTTTCCTATCACTGCCCTAAAATCTATAAAGCACCCATTAAAGCAATGATCTCAAACATCAATTTAGTGGGTTATTTAACAACCAGACTTGGAGGTCCCATTTACTACCCAGCTACGGGCAAAAGGATCCCAAGTTCCAGGTCATGCTGGGCAATTTAGTAAGACCCCATCTCAAAATAAAAAGGGCTAAGGACATAGTTTAATTGCCACTAACATTAAAAAAATGTAATACAAGGCAGGCACAGTGGCACACATCTGTACCACTACCACTCAGTGAGGCAGAAGAAGGAGGACCAAATGTTCAAGTTCCATTTAGGCAGCAACTCAAGAGACTTAGTAACACCCTGTCTCAAAAAAAACAAAGACTAGGGGTGTTGGTCATGTAAAGTTCCAGAACTCAATCCCCACCAACTCTAAAAAAAGACTACAAATGACTTTTTGGGGTAGGATGAAATCTAGAAACTGTAAGAAAATGCCAAAAAGGAGTGGAAAGATGAAACACCAGGCCACTGTAACAAATAGATTAATGTGACAAAAATGGCTGCATGACTTGTTCCTAAAGACAAGATTCCTCACTTTATAAAGACAGTATTCAGCCCTCAGAAGCTAACCAAAGTCGTTTCCCATACTGGACACACATCACATGCGTACCTTCATCTAAATAGGAGTCTGCCAGACTCCCTCCCAGCTTCTTGATGACATGTATTGCCTCCAGATTACCAGAACCTTTTAGTCTGAGAACAGCTTCTACAGCTAATTTGGTAAAGTGGTCTTTGTGATGAGTAAGCAGTTTTGAGGATAACGTCGTCGCCGCAATATTCATCAAGTCCTCACGGAACTTAACTTCATCAGAACTAAGTAAAACCAATTAGAACAAAAAAGTATCTGTTAGCATTCCTCAATTCTATTTTACTTTTCACAATTTACCTAGCTATTCAAGTCAACAAACACTCCTAACACTTATCAACAAATGACACTTTTCCCTGCCAAACTGTAGAGGGTAGGATGGGGCCATAAGAAAACAAAAGATTTCAAATGATGTTAAGACAAATTGGGGAAACAAGCGAACAAGCATTTTTTATGCAGCTAGTGGGAGGGTACATTTTTTCTGGAGGTTATCTGGTAATATACATAAAAGTCCCTTACATCATGTATATATCATTGGACCCAGCAATTATACTTCTAGAAACACTTCTTGAATAATACATTTATCACATTATAAAACTAAAACACAAATCTCGGGCTGCAAATTTAGCTCAGTAGCATGAGTGCCTGCCTGGCAAGTATGAGGTCATGAGTTCGATCCCGAGTACCAAAAACAAAAGTCTCTAATGATAGCTATGTTGTTATACTAGTCATATACTCAAATGCCTTAGTATTACAAAAAAGTATCAATACCCAGACACATACTTGTTATCCATGTAGGTGAAAAAGAGGCTAATAAACCCTCTTTACAGTATAACTGTTTTGTTTGCAAATTAATCTGGTTATAGATGTAAAAACAGAAACCTAAACTTTCATTTTAGTGGTTAATCTGGAGAGGGATGTGGGTTTTAACTGTTGAGGTAGGACAAAGCAGTAGGATCAGACTCTGATTCTGTATGGGACATAGATAACTCAGTATGACTGTCAGTGTTCTCTAGGTTAAATATTTATAATTGCAGCATTTTAGTATACCAACCCATGATCTACTGCAGAACTCAAGAGAGCCTCTCTCGCAGCCTTTGTAGCTTCTCTCCAACCGGCAATGATGGTCTGTGGATGAATCTTTTTTGCAATTAAAGATTCAGCTTCCTATTAATAAAGTTATACAAATAAATTAGAAAAGACTTGATAACCTCTGAGATTCAAAACTGTAGCAGGAAAACCAATAAAACAAGGTTAAAAGCTATCCAGTTGCTCTTACCCTTAATAATTCTGCTGCTAAAACAGTAACAGAGGTAGTGCCATCTCCAACTTCATCATCTTGAACTCTGGACATGTCTAGAAAAAAAAATTCGGCATTAACTCAAATTACCTCTCTGTAGTTTAACAAGTTCTACCCAAATACCCCTTCTAACCTAAATCTCACTTGTCTAGGTCTCTCATCTGACATGTGTTGAGGAATTCTTTTTAGGTTTGAAATGCAAGAATTTTATCCACCCCATCACCACAGTCTGAGTATATCCCCAAAAGTTCACATATTGGAAACTTAAACCCTGATTAATCTCTTTCTCTCTCATCTGTATAATGCTTTCTGCCACGTTATGGTAGCCACAATGTTCTCAGCCACCTTCATCTTAATTTTCCAGCCTCCAGGACCACAAGCCAAATAAACTTTATGATACACAAATGAGCCAGTCCACTTTGTTAGATCACCACAATACAGACCAAGATAACCATTACATGCACTTCTGAAAACTTATATTTAACTAATGACAATAATTACACAAATAGTGATGAAATCCCTATAGTACATTTAGTCAATATGGCCATTCTAGTCAAAACATTGAGCAAACAATATTATCTTCAGACTCACCAACTAAAACTTTAGCAGCTGGATTGTCAACACCAATGTTTTTTAGAATAGTGGCCCCATCATTGGTCACCATCAGAGAAGCATCTCGTCCACTGCTTAAAAGAATTTTGTCCTGAAGAAAATGCATTTGTTTCAGATTAAAATGTAATTTGAAGAGGGTATGTGAAACAGAAACAAACTATATGTTGATCAATGAAGGTATAATCAGAGTACTGAATACTGACAATGAAAAAGCCAAAATACTTACACTGAAATTTTAAACACAGCTTATAGAAAAAGTACATATAACCATCACATATTCATAATCTGCTTCATGAACATAGGTTAAGAAACTATACAATACCCAAGATACAAATATCTAAAAAATACAGAAAAGTTGTACATTCAAAGAGAGAATAGGACTGGGGATGGTCAGGACCGTGATTTTCAGCAAGAATATATTTATCATATTTTTACAATTAAATAACATGAAAAATTGTTAGCTGTATTTCCACTACGGGACACCAAACAATACTCCTTCAAAGTTTATTCGTAGCCAGCTTGGGGAACATAGCAAGGAGCCAATTCAAGTAAATAAATAAATCTATTTACTCCTATCCAAGTACTAACCAGGCTCGACCCTGCTTAGTTTCCAAGATCAGATGAGACTGGGCGCATTCAGGGTGGTATGGCCCTAGACTAAATCTATTTTTCTTACCATGCCCTTGGGTCCCAAGGTGCTCTTTACCAAGTCTCCAACAGCGATGGCACCAATAAAAGAAGACTGGAGTAAAAATTAAGACATGTCAGAATTTTATAAAGACAAAGGTAAAATTTAATATTTAAAAGAATGAAGAACAGGTTTACCAGACGCGCTGTCTCTGCTCTCTCTTCATCAGCCCCAGCTTTGAAGATGTTAACAGGTGCAAGGGAAAGGGACGCCTGAGAAGGAAAAACAAGAAACATTTGGCTTGCATATTAAAAAAAAAAAAAAAAATATATATATATATATATATATACACACACACACACACACATATATATATATATTTGCTTTTTATAACCAGGGTCTCTATGCTATAGTTCAGGCTGGTCTCGAACTCGAGGCAACCCGAAGGCTCTGGAGTGCAGAGATTACTAGCGTGCGCCACCACGCCTGGTTTACCAATACTTACTGTAGGTATCTAAGAGAAAACTCACTTACAACATAACAATTTCAAACAAATTTTCATCCAGTAGGCATTTATTTAAACGGCGGAGAGGGTCTTAGAGAGAGCCAGAAGTAATTACACACAGTTACCGCAGTAGTACTGTTATGACAAAACTAAAGACAGCGCTACACTAAGGATGAGGCGGCCAGAGGCTGCACGTCGCGGGCGGGACGGCCGCCAGACCGGGTCCTCCATCTTCCACCCTCGGCGGCTCCCACTAGTCCTCCAGGCCCCGCCCGAGGAGGGCGGAGCTGCCAGGCGCTAGAAAATTCTCTGCTCCAGGCCAGGCCTAGGTCTCGAAATCTCGGGGTCCCGGGCTGCGGAGAGGCCTCATCGAAAAGAATGAGGGCTTACAAACCAGCCTTGCTCCTGGGGACCGTGGCGGGCTCCGTCCGCGGAACCGCGCAGGCCTCACGCCGCGGCCCGCGCCATGTGGAAGCCGGGGAGACAGAAACCGAGCGCCTGCTCGCAGGTAGAGCAGAAGGAACAGAGGCTGCAAGAGCACAACAGGGCATGGGCAGGGCGCAGCAGACAGGCGGTAACAGGCAGGGAGCTAGGCTCACCATGGTTCCGTAGAATTCCGCACACAATCCAGTCCCTCACAGCTCTTGCCTGGTAGCCGGCGTAAAGAGAAGAGAGGAAGTGACGTCACAGCCCTACTCCCAGGGGCGGGGTCCAGCCTGCTAGTGGCTCCGGCCAGCCGGGGGTACCATTTTTGAGTAACGCCGCCCGATGAACCGGAAACGCAACTCTGCACGCCGAGGGGGCGGGGCCTCAGCTCGCGCTCCGGCTCTGAGCGCAAACCGCTGCACGAGGTAGGGGCGGGGCAGGGGGTTTAGAGTACAACCCTACTCCCAGGAAGAGGCTGCGCTGCGGGGGTTGCCGCAGCAAAAGGGTTCCCAGCGATGGCGATCCACTTATAACTATAAAAAAATTCACAATTTTGTATTCAAGTCTTTTCTTGAAAAAACAATGTCATTGCTTCTTAGCGGCAACTACTTAAAGGTTTTCGGGTTATTTGGTGTTTTTTTTGGTTGCTTACCAACATTTCTAAATATTTTGTTATTTCAATTTTAAACATTATTTATTGCTACAGAGGACAACTTGCTTTCCTTTTATCGAATCTTAAAATGCTGCTTCCAGTTGGACGCCGACTGCTCAGAATGACAAGGTCCTGTGAACTCTCAAGGAGACATTATCTTTCCCTGTTTACCCATGTCAGGAGGTTTTGCACTTCACTTCCTCCCGACCCGCAATAACAGAAATAATATGCTTCTCCAGGATGCTTCGGTAGAGATCAAGTTCCATCCCAAATACATCAGTTTATTAAAAACAAACTTAGCTTATTTTTCCCTAACTTGACACCCTTAAGATGTCTAAAGTAAAACGTTGTGCTACAAGAAATCAAAGAAAAAACCATGCCAGTTTTTTGCGGTGATGCAGGCTGATAATAGTGGCACTTGGGAGGCTGAGGCAAAAGGAGCTTGCAAGACAGAAGCCAGCCTGAACTACACAGCAAGACCTTGTCTCAAAAAACCAAAAAATAATGCATAAAGTAAAATACAACAGTTGGTTTTTTATCATCTACTGATACTCAACTTTTCTTTCTTTGACTGATCACAGCGAACTCCAGATGTGTGACCACTGCTAACACTGAGAGTATTTTCAGTTATTTCTAACGAGATATCCTCTCAACTGGGTTTTTTTTTTTTTTTTTTTTTTCTTCCAGTTTTTACGACAGTCTCTGTGTAGCCCAGGCTGGCCTTGAAGTTGCAGCAGCCCTCCTGCCTCAGCCTCCCAAGTGCTGGCATTACAAGCATGTACCGTCATGCCCAGCTCAAATGGGCCAGTTTATACCAGAGGTCAGCAAGTTATGCAGAGTCAGATTCAGCCTGCCAACTGCCTTTTGTATGACTAGAGAGGTAAGAATAGTTTTTATATTTTTAAGTGATTGAGGAAAAAATAAAGAACATTTATGAGACATGAAAATTACACTAGACTCATATTTTGCTGTCCATATACTTTGGTTGGAACATAGGCATGCTCATTATTTTCCATACTGTCACATTATAATAGTAGAGTTGTGCCCTCGAGAGCTCAGTGGTTATGCCAGAGACCACATGGGCCCACAAGGCCTAAATTAGGTACTGATTCTTTACAGAAAGCACTGACTAACTCTGGTATATGTTATCTTCAAGACCCAATGTGAAAAGGGGTGTTTGGGCTGGACAACTGGTATTTTAAATCAATGAATAGCTTTCTGTTTTTTGTGGGAAGACCTGCTCTTCTTTCAGGAAATGTATTTTGATGGACTCATCCCAAAAGGCATCTGGGAATGAGAAGAGTAGAAATGAGAAACAAAGCTTCTTGATTACAAGTGTTTGCTGACTCTGTCCTTTGGTAAACTGGTCATTCTACAAACCTGTTGATATTGCCTGTGTGGCTCGTCTGCAACTCAGTGAGACCCTGTCTCAAAAGAAAATTTTAAAAGGCTGATGATATAGCTCAGTACTGTCTGGAGTCAATCCCCAGTACCAGAAAAACAAACACTCTGTCTGTCTCTTTTTGTCTCTCTCTCTCTCACACACACACACAAAGGAGACCCATAAATTCATAATATTTAAAACTTGTTTATGTCTTGACTACTGGTGAAATTATTGTTGACAGAAAATCAGAAATTATCCAACCACCTCTACTGGACACTCCCATATGGACTTGCCCACAGGAACTTCAAAGGAACCCACCATCTTTCTTTCCAAACCTATGACCCCAAAGTATATATTTAATCTTACTTAACTGGCACCATCAAGTATCTAGTCACCCAAACTAACAAGCAGGAGTAGATCTTTGACCTCTCCATTTCTATCACTCCTCTTGGCAGAAGTACTGATTCTTCCTACTTGGTCACCTGCCAATAGACTAGACTTTTTTTTTGGTGCCAGGGATCGAACCCACTACCTTGCGTTTGCCAAGCAGGTACTTAACACCACTGAGCTAACCCCTGGGCTCGGTGTAGCTCAATAGTAGAACTGAGGTCCTGGGTTCAATCCTGAACATCACAAAAATAAAACCAGAAACAAAAAGTGTAGCAATTTCTTTTTTTTTTTTTTAATAGGTACCAGGGATCAAACTCACAACCATGTGCTTGCAAGGCAGGTGTTTATGCTGCTGAGCTAAATTCCCAGCCCCGCAACTTCTACTTTTGAGCTCTTGGACACCTTAAGCTGCCATGACAGACAACAGCATGAAAAAAAGACGAAGACTAATTGGAAGCAAAGTCAGGAACCCAGATGGCACTCACCCTCAGACATAACCTAACTGAGTGCTTCTGCCAGCATCGTTTGAGTTCTAGCCAAGGTTCCAGTGTCATCGGTGAGGAAGTCGGCTTTCCAGACCTTGGGTAGAACAGAGAGGAGCCATCTCTGCTGTGCCCTGTGCTAAGTTCAGGGGTGGTTTATTGAGTAACAGTAAACAAGCATTCATTTAACAAAACTCTTAGATAAGCACTTATCAAGTCTTATACTCCCATTTGTATAAAAACCTCCGAAGTAGTCTTCCTGTTTTATTAAAATGTCATCTTTTAATATAGCCTTTATGTTGATACCTAAGTAACTTTGTTTAAAATCCTCCAAGTTCCCACTTCATCTACAGTTTTTTAAAAAAGAAAAGAAACAAACATAAACTCCTAGGCATTCTACACCTATTTGCCATCTTGTTTCTCTTGTTCTCTGACCCTGACCCTACCTCTGTACCCTAGCTACAGTGAGATGGGACCGCCTACCACCATGGAACATTATGTTCTATGCCTCTACACGTGCCAGGGTTTCTCCCTCAGACATCTCCCTCTCCTCTTGCAACCTATAAAACTTCTCATTTGAACACCTCAGGAATCATCTCCAAGCTCTGCTTCAAAATTTCCACTCCCAGCATACTGTGTATCTTGTATACGTATCTATCATACCACTTACATTAAGAACCAGAAAGACAATTTTCCCAGTTCTAAGGTATATTTTATTAGCTAATACAATTCTAGAGATATCAGACCAAAGTTATGCCATCATATGCAATATACATCTTAGGTCTTTAATTCTCTAGGAGACACTAAAAGCACTGCCCCCATTAGAAGGGCTGGTCGAACTATTAGACGGTAGAACTATAGCTGGTAGCTGGTAGAACCATAAATTAGAGGACAAGGATGGCTATCTCCTAGTGTAGTGTAGTGTCTAGTTCATAAACATTTGTCAAATAAGAACATGTGAATCATTACTGTTCTCAAAAGCTTCAGAAAAAAAATATGTTAATAATGCAAAGAAGCTTTAAATTCTGAAAACAAATGCCCTGGTTTTCTGAAGTATAATCTGTTACCACATTAAAACCAATTCAGAGAGTTCTCTATAGTCTGGCACATAGTAAGCCCCCAATAATTTGTGGATTTGTCTATTCTCCACATTGCTTATGACTTCCATCTTGGAGCTATATACAGCTAGGGTTTGCAACCTCACTCTGAAATCTCAGAGCTGAGAACCACTAATTTGAATGATCGTATAGATAAAATTGAAGGGAAGTATCAAACAAACACATCTTTAGCAAAGTATATATTCAATTTGAAAATGGAGACGATATAATAAAACATTAAAGTTTCAAGTAATACATGAAATATAAATACACTAGAACTTTAAATGTGTCCAACCAAACTTTTATTGGGGTTTTATTGCAATCTACTTTTGGCAATATAGGGAAAGTGACCATAAGAACTCTGATATCAGATTTTATTCAACAAAGCAGTTTTGCATGAATGCTTATCAGTGTATAGTCAGCTCAGTTTCCAGTATCAACTTGAGTACCTCATCATGAATATTTATGCCAGAATAACAGTAAGGCAATGCTACATCACCTAAGATTAGGCTGTATTTTTCCATATTATAATTTTAGGACAGTAAAGTATAGTAATATACTCTACAATAAATACTTTAAAATGTGTTGCTTAGCCCTTGTTGAACAAATTTAATTAATTAGCTTATTCTTTAAGTACTCCAGTTAATAGAGGTTTGATTGTATTTCAAGAACTTCGAGTTTTCTAAAAATAAAAAATTAGTTATCTGTTATGACAAATGAAAGCGTAAAAGCACATTCATACTTGTCCTTAAAAGCATGTTTACATCATATATAACTTCTGACGCCTGATGACATGGCTTATATGGCAAAAAGAGTCATATGCAAAGGACAACTAGAGGGCAATCTTCCCATCCCCACTTCCTCCAAAAAGCCACACTTGGCCTCAGTGTAAAAGTTATATTTTATTGCCATGCTACAAAAGGTATGGAGTTGGCACTGGTAGGGAGAAATAGAGAACAAACAATGGGAAAGGAAAGAATGTAAAAGATGATGTTACATACACAAGGTTTTATTTTAGTTAACAGTGGTTAGGTTTTGCCAATATTAGATATGCAAACCAAAATGTAAAATGCTGATATGAAACAGCATTAAAATACAATTTATGCATAGTACAGTATCACTTATGTCTTTTATTAGAGAAATATGGAATGTTTATAAAAGAAATCAGCCACAGGGGGTAAAATTCATATTTCATATACAATTTGGCAATGGTAGTCCCACTGTTAGACAATTTTTATAAAAGAAAAAATTAAAAATCTAATAAGCTACCTTTATACAAAGTTGCTATATTTATGCCTTTATGTAGGAAAAAAACACATTTATAATGCAAATTAGGACATACAATAATCTTACAGTATTATACAATGTAATGAAAATAAAAACATAACACAAAGTTTGTCCTTTATAAAATGTATATTTTGCATTTACTAATGCAAATGTGGCACACTGGTGACTACTGTACTATTACTATCAATCTGCTTCCATGCTATAATCATCCAATTGTCATACAATTGTAACTGTAATGAAGCTACAAAAGAATTGTGTTATAGCCCCCAAAAAATGAGGAAGTAGAGACGGGGAATTGGGATGTAAAGAACAAGAAAAAGACAGACTGCTGGTTTGGGCAGAGTATATTGCATTATTTCATAAAATATTGTTAATTTTTCAAACCAAAAACATTTTCTATACATTCTGTAATTTCGTACCAATGCCTTTATTCAAATTTGGCAAACATCAAGGAAAAGGTAATTAGTACCATATACCTCATATATAGAAATATGAATGAGATGCCAATACATCAGTTATTTCTGAATGATGTCTCTGATGGTATGTCTATTTCAAGAATATATATATGTATACACATACTACACATTGCACAAAACACTTGGGCATTATGGGTTAGGAACAGCACAGGGAAATTGGAAAGTACTTTTTAGCTCACTAAAACTTTCCCTTGAGGCAAATACAAGGTGGCACATTGTTGGGAAATTATGAAAACATAAGGCCCCTGTCCCATTTTTAATAGAACATTATTGAGGTACATTTTTATATGCTGTGCCACAGATCAGGGGAGGGGGAATAAACACCAGTTTGACTTACTTTGACAACAATGAACTGAGGGTCAACATTAATATCTATAAAAACAAAGATTGCTTGGCAAATTTTCTTAAGTCCCAAATGTGATCTATTGTGGATATACTGGGAAGTGAAAAGCTTTTTTACTGAGTCTTCAAGAGTAAAGTGCATATCTCATCACTCCACAGCAGCAGTAAATAAAAGGAACTATTTGCCAATCTTCTGGAGGGAGGGAAGGCACCATATTTTTGTTTTTTTAAAAAAGATGCAACTGGGAAATGAAACACACTAAGAAAAACACAGGTAATACCCATATCAGCTTCTAACCCTGATCTGGGAGGAATGCTGTTATGATCTATATGGGTAAAAGAGGCTTTAGGGAAAAATATACCCAAATAATGGGATCATGTAACCCATCAACAAAAATAAGTACCTAAAGTTAGGTTCACTGCAGAAAATCTGAGACATATGGCCATAATTATATGCCAATAAAATACCTTATTCTAAAATGCACCTAGAAATAGGTACACTTTTCTAGGACAGAGCTTAATGCCCATTACTAAACTACTGCAAAGGGCAAGTAGTGTTCTAAATTATTTCTTATTAAATAGGAACACAGATGACACCCAGAAGACAACTAGAAGAAACACCAGTTGTATATCTATAATATTCTTTTAGTACCCTAAAATCAAATTCTTAGCAGACAATTGGTCCCATTTTCATTTTTAAAGCACATGGTATTTAAAGCATAAACTTACTGATTATATTAGTATAAAAACTAATTAGAATCTGGGAGTGAAAAAGATGAGGGAAGAAAAATGAATAAAATATCCAACCTCCAAAGTAAATATATCAGCCCTTTCATTTGGAGATTAATGTTCTGCTGTGACTGCTTATTTCAAGGAAAACCATTTGCATTGGTTGTGTCATAATTCCTATTCCACATTACAAAAACCATTGCATAAGTTTGGCACAATTAGCAACCTACTTAAAAGAAAGGATAAATGAAACAATACATTTAAAAATGGAAATTATATTGGAGAAACTGCACATCTATACTACTGCTCTTTTTAAGAGAACAGCATTTTAGTAAGCACCAAGTTCATGGGGCAAGGGAGGGCGTGGCAGAAAATTTCACTATGCTAATAAACCAATGGCACTGAAAATGATAAAGACTCCTGTAATTATTTTTTAACAATGGTTCCACTCTACTGTTCTGCTAATGCATTCACTGTTCTACAACTATAACCTATATCTAGGTTATTTACTGAATAAACTGGGTAAGACAAACTTTTTCATGCTAAATCAGCCCTAAGACACATATTTAGAGAAACAGCAATATTCTGCAAGGTTACCTAACCTTCTTCTCACTCTTATATTCTCTAGTGTTTGGAAATCTGGAACATTCTTGATTTTCCAAGAGTTCTGACATCTGGACTCATCAATTTATAGAAATTCAGTTCATTTTAAATCCTATATTATGACACAATTTCATTACTGCAAGACTTCCATTGTACCTGCTATGCTGGCAACAATATGAACATTCCACTGAAATCAAGGGATAATCAGCGATCCAGCTACAAATGAAAGGATAGTAGAGCTAAAGAACACTAGAGTGCATGGAGTACAACTGTAGCCATGTAGCTGAAGAAAATCCCTGCTAAAGTGCTGGGGAGCGTGCCCACAGAGAAACAGTACCTTTAGGGAACTTCGCATGTTAAAAGGAGCTTCCTTTTTTTTATTTTTTGTTTATTTTGGTTTGGTTTGGTTTTTTTTCCTCAACTTTAAAGGGATCACCTATGGACACAAGTAAAATTTAAAATTGAAAGAATGTTTTTATCAACTTGAAAAGTAAACAGCATATAAATAAATACTGGACAAGGGCAACCCTGTTATAGAATAACAGCAAGTTCCAAATGAACCTTCAAAACCATAATTTGACAAAAATGCAAACTAAGTAACAATAAACACATAATCCAATTTCAAAACTATATACAAACTCCAACATTTTAAATTGAAAAAGACACTAAGCAACACAATAAGTCATCCCAAACACCAAAGAAAAAAGTGAAGGTAAATGGGAACCTAACAGCAAAAATGTCTCCAGAAAACAACACATTGTCAATAATCTATAGGATAGAAACTTCAAGAGATCATGGTTCATATTTTCAAATGTTTTTGGGTAAAGTGACCTGAGACTGATTCTTAAGCCTACTGTAATTCAGAGTAAGACATCTGGATGTGCCCTTCAAACGATGTCATGAGATGAGTAAACAAAATCTTGTCTCCTGCCACCTTTCAACCACCAACAGCAAATTATATTCACAACATAGATTCTTTCTAGTAACACTGAAAGTGAAAGAGCTGACTGGTTATAGAAGGAGGTGTGGTACTTGTTTCCTTTACACATATTTTGGCTCAAATCAAAAAGCCTTTAATTCATCAAATAAAGGATTCCTCATGTTACATGCTGGAGGCCACATACTGTGAACAGTGATCTATAAATATTACTTTCAAAGCCTAGAGTTAACTGTTAGCAATGCATACTACCAAGAGGCTTTATAAAAAGTTTTAAATGCCAACCATTATTTAGACATGAAAGATACGCTAAGTCCAAAATATCAAATAAAAGTCACCAGCATGTCGTTCACTTCAACTCTCGTTTTAAATAGGCACTGTGAAAATGGGAATGCTGCTGTACAATAATGAATAGTATATAATGTAATTAGTGTTCTTTAAGGAGTACCTGCTCTACAATAATTCCCTTTAAAGATGCACATGAAATATTCAGAAAAAATTGTCAGTCTATAAAAGGAGTTAGTGTAGAAACGAAAATGAAGCATTTGCATCTTCATTTTAAAAAACTTCACAAAGGTGCAAACAACATAATGCTTTCCAGGCTCACATGGGCAGATCAGTACTATTATGTCTGGTTTTCCTAGATGTACCATCATCTCGTGGCAGTGCTTTCTGCAAATTTGACATAGCAGCAGTTCTCTCGATGTCTATCACAGCATACAGCTCTGTGCGCCTTGTAGGGGTTTGTGGAAGGGGAGTGGTAGGTGTTTTTGGAGTCTGAGGGTTGTCAGAGTCACTGCCACCTTCCAAGTCAACTTGTATATAATTGAGCTGCCTGTGTTCTAAACTTGGGCGTCTGATATCAAAGTTAAAGACTGTTGGTGTACAGTCCCGACGCCTTGAATATTCTATTTTGTGAGCACTTGCCGGCACTGTTACATTTTCTGTATTTACATAGTTATGCATTGGGTCTAGATTATTATGATAGCCATTTAGAGATGGAGTCTTTGGTCCTAAATTGTCATCTTCATCCCTGCTTAGCTTGCGGGCTTCCCAAACAGGTGGCAAAGATGGTAAATTTTCGTAGTTTAATAATGCAGTTCTTCTCTGGGCTGAATTGTTGATATTCTGGGTATCTGAGGTACTAGTGGATGTCAGACGACCTCTCCTGACCCCTGAGGCACTGGGGATAGATAGCCCATTTATATTTTCATACACCAGTTTGTTAACTGAAGGTGCATCTCTCCGTTCATCACTGTCATAGCCAGTGTCCCATTCTGTGTTATTTGCACCACTTCCACTAACTTGGTCTCTTCCAAGTTGCTCCAGTTTCTCTTTTTCCATTAACTGCTTCTGAACAGGAGTTGGTCCTAAAACAAATTTTACTCCTTCGGGTTCAAGAAGAATCTGAGGATCTCTGTCTTCAACACTACTTGGTTCTTCTTTTGGTGTGTTGCTCTCAGCATTTGAAACTCTTGCCTCCAATGGGACATGCGCAACTGTGCGTTTTTTCCTCTCTTCTTGTACACCTGTAGTGTTGACATAGGTATGTATCTAAAATGAAAGAGAACCAATCAATAACATTTTTTTAAAAATGAGACAAAAAACCCCCACACCATTTTATTAACATTTTATCTAAATGTACTCTTACTTCAAAACTTTTACACTTTTTTTAATTTTTACTAATAAACAGATAGGGCAAAAGAAAGAAATGTAAAAATGTCTTCTAATTTGATAACAGAGAAACTTCTTTAAAATAATATGCAGTATTTGATGGTGAAACATGAAAAGTATTGACAAAAATCAGGAATAAAATAAAAATTATTTTGCTGTTGTTCTATAAATTCTCATTGATGCTTTAAAATATTATTCAGAAAAAAGAAATCATATTGTTTATAACAGTGTAAGCCTGTAATCTGTAGGGGATTGTAAGAATGGTAAGGGACCATCATGTCTGTCTTAATCTATAGATGCACCTCTCCTGTGAACTCATATTACTGAGCTTCCCTTCACATATTTGAACATACACAAGCAAATATATACATTCTTCAAATGCTTCAGCTGCTTGGGAAGCAGAAGCAGGAGAATCAAAAATTTAAGTCAAGGGGCTGGGGGTTTAGCTCAGCGGCATAAGCACCTGCCTTGCAAGCAGGCAGTCGTGAGTTCGATCCCCGGTACCGATAAAAATGAAAAAGACAAAAAAAAAAAAAAAAAATTTAAGTCAGCCTGGGTAACTTGGATCAAAATAAAATAAAAATAGATGGGCGTGGTGGTACACATCTGTAATACCAGCACCTGGGAGGGCTAAAGCAGGAGGAACACTGTGAGTTCGGCTGATTGACTGATTGATCAATGAAATGAAATGAAATAAAATAAAATAAAATAAAACAGGCTGGGGACATAACTTAGTGACAGAGAGCTTGCCTAGCAAGTACAAGGCTGTGTATTCAATCCCCAGTGCTAACCTCCAAAACAAGTACTGAAGAAAAAAAGGTAAATTTATCACTATTTACCAATGATCCGATTATAAAAAAAAAAAACTTGGTTTAAAGTGTTCTGTAAAATGAAGCTGCCGGGCATAGTGGTGTACACCTGTAATCTCAGCACTTGGGAGGCTGATACACGAGGACTGCTATGAGTTTGAAGCCAGCCTGGGCCACATAGTGGTTTCAAGGCCAGCCTGAACTACGTATCAAGACTCTGTCTCAAAAAAAATAAATAAAAATAAAAAATAGGCTGGATGTGTGACTCATGTCTACAATCCCAGCACTCAGAAGGCTGAGGCAGAAAGGTCTTTGAGAGTTTGAGATCAGCCTGGGCTACAAAGTGAATTCAAGGCCAACTTGAACTGCATAGTGAAACCCTGTCTCAAAATCAATCAATCAATCAATCAAAAAAAAAAAAAAGTAAAGAAAAGTGTTCTGTAAAATGTATAGATATAAAATACCATCTAGTAAGAAATTATCATTATTTAGAAAAAAGTTCAATGGTATTTGAAAGAATTTAAAAATGTTTGAAAGACTATATGTAAAATTTTAAAGACATAAAAATGAAAAAGCAAAACTAGGTAAAATGTAATTATGGTAAATATTTTAAGAATTTGTTGGCCAGGGATATAGCTCAGCAGCACAGCACCTGCCTTGCAAACGTGAGGTCATGAGTTTGATTCCTGGTACCAAAAGTAAAAAAAATAAGAACTTGTTCACTATGCAAAGAACAAAAACAAATTTACTTGAATGTAGTCATAGTTGAGATGATGGAATAGAAATTTACTTTAAAAACACTAAAAACTCCAATGCTCAATGAACATGGTTTCCAAAAGTTAATGTTTAACTAATTAATGTTCAACCAGATACTTCATTCCACAAGTGAAAACTAGATCAAGAATACTAAATCACAAGAACATTAACAACAAAATTTACCTTTCTTCTAGTTGTTCAGTGATTTCCAAGACCAAAACATGAAAGCAGCACAAATTCTTGGCATATTGGAGGTTATTACAATGGCTGACCATTCTTAATCATTAGGTGTACTCTTCCTAGGAACCCTAGCTACTACTATAATCTTGCTTCCCTGTGCATATTTGAGCATATGCCAGCAAATATATAGTATTTCCTCAATTGCTCACTACAAAAGTAACTCAACAGTGAAAAGTTAAAATTCAAACTGAATACAGTCCAGAGCACAGAAACACTTAAACTGCAAATCATTCATGATTGCTGTTACCAGGTAGCCCATGCTTACTTGTTCCTCAGCCACAAGCAAAGGATGTGTAGATTCTTCACCAACTGAAGGCAAGCGGGCACTTCCCACAGAAGGATGTCTGCTTGAAGGATGAGATGAAGCGTCTCCAAATGACGGATACCGGGGATATCCATTAGGTAAGCTCTGAGCAGCAAACCCTGGAGCTGAGTTTTTGTTTATTGATTTAAGAAGCCAGGACATAGGTAGGAGTAGAGCACAGACAATAAACGTGAGTGAGAATTGAATCTGAAGATTAAGAAAGGTGTTTTGGACAAGCCATATAGAAATTACAGTAAAATAATACCTCCATCCATGTTTTAAATGATATGGAATAAATGTTTTCATTTAAAATGTTTACAGGTAGGAATTGTTTTTAAAAAACTAATGACCATTATACTTTATTAAATAAATAGTGATTTCAAGTATGTTACAAATATCCATAATTTATAGCTCTAAAGTTTCTGATATTCAAGCTGTAAGATGGGAAGTACTACTTACTTGTAGGTGTTCGAGGTGTTCTGGGAACCTCTAATTCTGTCTGATGATTATTCCTTTCTACCACTGGCTCTTCCACTACATTTATACTATTATTTTGCATAATCTCCTGCAACATGTTAAATAATTCTTCTGCACGGGCACACTTAAATGCAAAGATTCCTACAAATATAAACCAAAAGAGAAAAGTCACAACCACACCTTTCAAAAAGTTTTAAGAATATGTGCCAAAGAACAAAATTCTCAAGCAAGTACTCCTTGTATCAACAGTAAGACAGGCCTGATAAATTCTGTTAATTAATGATATTTCCAAAAACAATTAATGGTATTTCCTGTTTAAAAACATAAACTCCAAAGGAAAGTTCACAGAATAATTTTCATATTTGTTTAAAGGAAATGGCACAAAACAAAGTCTATTTTTAACAGCAGGGGGAGCCTCCTTTCCATTAACAAAGCAATTATTTACCTTTTAAAGGGAACTCATGTTAAACGTTTTATAATCATTTAATTATTACAATGCCATAAGATAGGTATTACAAGCATTACCATTATCTTTTTATACAGTTATCTGAGGACATGTAACTCCCCAAGGCCATTCAAACAGTAAGTAGCAAAGACAAAACAAAACAAAACAAAACATCAAACTGATCTATTTGATTCCAAATTTCCTTATTTCCAAGGTAAAGCAATAAAGACAATTTAGCAGAACAATCACTTACTAAAAATCTAAAATTTGGGGTTGGGGATTTAGCCCAGTAGCATAAGCGCCTGCCTGACAAGTACGAGGTCATGAGTTCAATTCCTGCTACCAAAAAAAAAAAGTGCCAATAAATTTAATTAATTAAAAAAAGATAAATCTAAGGGAAAATTAGAAACTATTTTTAAAAATCCAAAATTTAACATGAGTCAAAATTTCTGACATAGAAAATGTGGTTTATAAATGGTTGATAAACAAACATCTTTTATTATAGCTTTTTTTTTTTTTTTTTTGTCTTTTTCTTTTTTATCGGTACCAGGGATCAAACTCATGACTGCCTGCTTATGCCACTGAGCTAAATCCCCAGCCCCTATTATAGCTTTTCTTAATCCATCTATTTGGGGAATTTTCTTTCAGAAGAAATATACTACTAAGTTAAACACTACATATAGATTAATAAAAAATACTATTTCAAATGTGATAATAGTTGTAGAAAACAAAGGCTCTACCTACCTTGTCCAGTTTGACACCTTCGACCACTTTCAAAAGAGAAGAGGTTTGAGTCATAGCCATAGCGTCGCAGGCAGAGGTAGTGCCATTTTACTGAGTCACGTTTGCGAGTATATAAAATCAGTTCTGTGTCTGTAAGTTCCATTATACCAGAACCTAACTCATTCCCATCATCATCCACATTAACGACCTAAAAAAATTAACAGTCAACACACATTTCACCAACTCATCAAGAAAACTATTGCTGTGAAGTTCTTTTCTGTAAGGAATTTTCCCACTGGAAAAAAAAAAAAGGATATAAAAACAAAGTTGACACCATATTGTGTATGATTAATTGACAAATGTTACAGAGGCTGCAGAAATCAGTGACTGTTGCCTAAATTGTTGTTGGAGACAATTTCATATAAGAAGAGTAGGAACTTCCACTGAACCTAAGATATAAATAAATTTAGATGAGAAATCAAGTTAAGAGGGAAAAATCTGTTGGTTCAGGAGATCAGGCCACCACAAGAAGATAGGATGCTAAAATAAAACACAGAAGATTCCTTTTGAAGAGACCAAAATAAGACTGGCACAAAGTTCATGTAAGGAAGAGTTTAGTAGTGCTGAGCTTCAGAAAAATGCTCAAAGACTAACAGATAACATTTATGCAAACAACATTATGCCCCTGGAACAGGACAAAGTACTTCCCACGTATTTTTCTCATTTAATCCTCACAGCAATCCTATACCAAAAGTGTCCTTTGTATAAAAATGGAATTAAGATTTAGTGATATGTAACCTGATGAAGGTTACAAAACTATAAAGTAACAGGGGTATAACTAACACTAGGTTTGTGTGATCCAGAGTTTAATGCTTACTGGAGACTGAAGTCAGGTTGCAAGAGACACTAAATAACTGTGGGAATGTTTAGCCTATATGTAACAGAATACCACAGAAGTTTTAGCAAACAAGTTAGTGAACAATAAAAGATCATTAATTAATTAATAGAAGATCATCATTAATCTAATGATGCAAGTACAAGATGGATGACAGGATGACTAGACTTCAAGTACAGTTATAAAATCATATAGGCATGGATGCAAATAATGACTGAAATGTAGCATCAGTTTGCATCTTTAGTGTCCTCCGAAGGCTATGTATTGAAGCCTTCATTCTCAGCCTGTGGCACTACTGAGAGGAGCTGGACCTTTAAGAGGTAGGGCCCAAACAGAAAGCTTCTGGCCATTAGGGGTGAAGCAGACAGGGGACTCAGCCTTTTCTTTCCTTTTGCTCCTGGGTGTGAGCTGAGCAGTTCTGCTCCACCATGTACTTACATTATGATGTGCTATCTCACCACAGTCCCAAAGCAACGGGGCCAGTGATTCATTGAAACCTCTTATGAGGTTTCAATCCTCTTATGAATCAGAATAAACTTTTTCTCTCTAGAAGTTGGTTGATTTTAGGAATTTGAGTAACTGTGAAACCTGATTAATATAGGTGGTGATGAGACTGGAATGACACGTGAAAAAGTGATATTTTAAAGAAAATATTGCCAGAACTCCACTGATATAAAGGACCAAACAAAAAGTCAGAGGCCCCTACAACAACTCATATATTGGAGACTTGGTAGTTTTTATTAATTTTTTTTAATGCTGTATTTAGAGAAATCAGTATGGCACCATGTTGCGGTAGCCCTTAGGCTACTGGGATGTGCCTTCAGAAGGGATTAATGTAGTTCTTGTGGGACCCTCAATTAGTGTATAGTAAGTCTTCAATGTGATCTTCCTTTCCAACATGCACACCCATCACAGTGATGGTATCAGTCACAATGACAACACTGGATATGAGGTGACATACTCACAGGGAACTTTCGTCAGAGCCAGTGAAGTGCTGCTTGAACTTTCAGATTCCAAAATTGTAAGCTAAATAAATCTCTTTTCTTTATAAGCACACAAGCCTTAAGTATTTCATTACTTTAAGAAAGACTATACTGCCAGTAAGAAAAAAAATCTTCATTTATTCAAACAGGAAAAGGCAGAGTAGAAAAGAGGGAAACAAAAGAGCTTGGTGATAAAAGTAAAGAGATAAGATATATTATGGGCTGATAAGATATATATGGGCTGGGGATTTAGCTCAGCAGCATAAGCACCTGCCTTGCAAGCAGGCGATCATGAGTTCGATCCCCAGTACTGATAAAAAGGAAAAAAATAAATAAAAATAAAGTAAGATATATTAAATAAAGTACGGGAGGCTAAGGCAGGAGGATTGTTGCAAGTTCAAGACCAGCCTGGGCTACAAAGTGAGCTCCAGGCCAGCCTGAAATGCACAGTGAGACCCTATCTCTATCAGTCAATTAATCAATCAATCAATAGAAACAGAAAGAGAGAGAGAGAAGGTGAGAGGAAGTGAGGAAGGGAGGGAGGGAGAAAGGAAGGAGAAAAAGAAAAGAAAAAGATGTATATAAAGTAGGCAGAGAGTTGTACAGCTAACTTACCTTAAACTTGTTCCGATGGTTATCTGGGACAGTGTCTTTATCTGGACAGCTACAACAGCTACCCATGGCTTCTTCAGAAGACCATGTGAGCACTGCATGTAAAATAATTTAGAGAAATGTATTAGATATAGGGTACACAAACCATACATAGAAAAAGATTTTATAAATCATCTAATCAAGCATAATATTTAATGCAAAAATTAAGCCCAACAAGGTATATTGGCTGAAGCTAAACATATAGGTAGTAGTCACTCAATAACAAAAAGGATAGACTTTACGAGGTGATATCACAGAAATCTCAAATTTCTAGTTTAATTTACAAAGGTCTGTCTATTCTAAAATTATCTAGGGCCAGGAACGTAGCACAGTGGCACAGTGCCTACCTGGCAAGCAAGGTCCTGAGTTCAATTCCCTGTACCAAAAAATAAAATTACATAAAATAAAATAATCTAAAAACCTAGAGTCTCATCTATAATACTAAGTAATTTATGATTATTAATCATTAACCATGAAATTAATCTTTTATGGCTTATCAAGAATTTCATGTTTAACAAAGAGATTGCCAAAAAGATGCTACAGTTGTTTTTTTTTTTTTTTTTTTTTGAGATGGTGTCTCACTATGTAGTAATGGCTGGCTTTGAACTTGCTTATGTAGCCCCAGCTGCCCTCAAACTGAACATGCTTCTCTTACCTCAGCCTTCTGAGTGCTGGGATTACAGACATGCACTACCACGGATTTCTAGCTTGACAGGCATTTCTGTACTGGGGACTGAATCCAGGGTCTCTGCACTTTTTTTTTTTTTTATATTGAGACAGGGTCTCACTAAACTGCTAAGTTGCCCATGCTGGGTTCAAGCTTATAACCCTTCTGCCTCACCTCCTAGAGTGCTGTGATTATAGGTGTACACCATCACACTCAATTGCTATTTCAATTCTTGTCACTCATTAGAATCCTTTAGGTACCTCGTGAGATAGAGTTCAATAAGACACAACAAGTTAGGAAGAGTACGCTAGGAAGAGAGACCAACCCAGAATTTAACCAGTAACATAATACACAGAATACCAGCAGAAATGACACAGCATGTCTACTTAATCTTTCTTTCCCACAGGTTAACACTAAACTGTGGGAAGCAGTAAGCTTCCAAAGAATTCCAAGTGAACACAGAAATGAAAAATTCAAAGCCTCACTTCTAAACAGCAGAAAAGAACCAGAATGAATGTAACAATATTTGAAACAGGAGAACAGGAGGAAGCAAGGGGCTATAAAATGTTATAAACATGTATCTGTCTGAAACTCAAGATTCTTTAGTGATTCTCCCCCACCTTCAGGATAAAATTTAAAACTTTTCAGAGTACACAGCATGAGGTCCTTCACAACAGATCCAATCTAAACTCTCTTTTTTCTCTGCCCCAAGCCCCACCCTCAGCCCAATCAGATGGAACAAGCCACAGCCTCTCCTTATTCCTTCTGCTTCTTTCCTTTCTCAAGGTAACAGAAGGCAGTGACTCTAGGAAGGTCTTCTCCAGCAACCAACTAGGTGAGTTGTCGTTCACATGTTCCCCTCAAAACACCCTGGGTTTTCCAGTTTCACAGCATCTATCACATTTAGTACTTGTAAAAATTGAGATAAGTTATCTGCTTATCTGTATTCTCCCTCCACTCTGATCTCCTTCCCAGCAGGGGAAGATATTATTTATTCTTGCATCCCTAATGCCTACAACACCATTGGTACTATAAGCCCTTTGTGAGTGGAATGGGATTATACTAGATAAAAATAAAGAATGCCTGGGGATTTAGCTGAGGGGGCATAAACACCTGCCTTGCAAGTGTGTGGTCATGAGTTCGATCCCTGGTACCGATAAAAAAGGGGGAAAAAAAAAAAAAAAAACTTGTCAAGAATGCCTGGTAGAAGTTTAGGTCTTAAGAAGATAGAAGAGTATAATGTGTACAAACCAAGATAAATGGTAAGTAATATGGCAAAGTTAATTATAAATCATGGTATTTGTTATTTTGCTCTAATATGACACCAAAGTAACAAAGGTGATTAAGTTGCTGTCTGTACCTATGAAGAGCAATGAGTCTAAGAGAGAGAGACATAAAGAAAGAATGTAGTATGACCAATCTTATCTTAGAATATGAACAGAATACTGTGGGCACAGAGAAGGGAGCAACTAACTTTCTGGATTAGGCAAGGCAAGAAGCACTATTCAAGCTTTAAAAGGTAAGCAGAAACAGTATGCCAGGCAAAAAATAGGAACAGGCAGCTGAAACAGATTACATGAAGGTCATGAAAGGTGACACTGCATTCAAGAGAAAGTGAGGCGTTCAGTGTAAGTGATAGGGTATAATACAAGCAGGGGCCAAAGCACCCAGAACAATGGGCTAGAGAGATGGGACCAGGCAACCTGAAGTGAGCCTACCTCCAGTATGTCCACAGTAGAACAGTATTACCCTACCAATGCAATTACATTCTATTGTAGTATTTATCTGTGTACCACCCACTTCACTGTGATCTAGCAGAAGATAGGAATCTTTTCTTCTTTAGTGTACTAAACATAATGTTTAACATAGCATATGTTCTATAAATGTTTAAAAAGTAATGTTGAAGCCAGGAATGATGTCTATAACCCCAGCACTCAGGAAGGGTGAGGCAGGAAAATTTCAAATTCAAGCCAAACCCAGGTAACCTAGTAGATTATGTAGACCCTGTCTCTAAATAAAAATAAAAAGGTTTAGGAAAATAACTTGGTGCAAAGGCCCTGGGTTCACAGCAGCAAAAAAAGAAAATTTAAAAAAAAAATTGAAAGGCAGAGAAATTATCTTCCTACTTGCTGGTCACATACAGTATCTAAAACTACGAAAGTGATGACACTGCTCGCGGGCACTGTGAAGACAGGTCTGTGGCTGAACTTCTGGTGGAATACAAATTGGGCTGGAGTACAGGAGTGGAGGGAAGCTGATGAAGGAGGAAAAGAAGAGATCAAAGCAGTACACACTCACGAGACCGTCAATAAGGAGGGACTGAAGAGAAGGATGGCAAACTGAAACAAACCCTGGGAAGGTGAGCAAAAAGTCTTCAGAAAATGGAAACTATGCTTCCAAAAAGTGGCTGAGAAAATAAGTAGAGTTCTGGAGTTTAAATAGACATAGGTTCAAAAGAAAACGTTGTTTTGAGTTATTTACTGTGTTTAGAGTACAGAAATTTAAGCAGGCTGTATCATTGTAGGTTAGTAAAGGTCACAAATGTAGGAAAAGAAGAAAGGAAAGAGAAGAACTAATTGATGGATCAAGATGGAGGAGAAAACTAAAGATGAGTCCAGCACTCTGACTGAAAGGTCTGTACAGAGCAGCAGAGATGCCTCATTCTCTAAGGAAAAAAGGAAAGAAGTAAAGATGGATATAGCATAAAGACAAGCTGAAGTAGACAACACCTGTGGTCCTAAATTTCCTAGGTAAAACAGAAGGCATGGGCCAGAGATTTAGCTCAGCGGCACAAGTGTCTGCCGGGCAAGCATGAGGGCATGAGTTCGATCCATGGCCCCCCCCAAAAATAGAAGGCATGGCTTGCAGAATGAGGGATTTGAAGAGGCTGGTAGGGTTATTTATCAAGGAACTACCCAAGAAAAGCAAGCAGGACTAAGTAGGATGGAAAGAGAGCCCAGCAGAGGCTGCAGTTTACTAGCTGTGCAGTCCAGAGGGCAGACAGTTCCACTGCCCCAAGGTCAGGGGGTAAGAGGGCACAGAAATTAAAGAATGTTGGTCATGCAGGGGTTTGAAGTGATGTATTATTGGCCCTCATTAGGAAAGAGGCAAAGACAGAAGAGGGTTAACAAAATAAAAGAAAATGAGACCAACCCCCCAAAAGTAGTAGTAGGTAGCTTCAACAATGTTAAAAGAATAGGTTTGTGGGCTTAGCATGAACGAGTGACTAAAATGCTGGAAAACAGGCAGTTGTAGTCCATTTTCTAACTTCTGGAAAAACAATTTTTTAATGTGTAATTTTCGTCTACTCTTCCTAACCACAAACTCCTAGGCAAAGGGACAGACTGGATTTATGACCACTACACTAATATTTGGAGACCACATCTGAGTTATGTGAGACCTAATAATATACACTAAATACCGTACACACTTCATGAAAAACCATGTGATCTCATCAGCATATACTCCTCTCCAAGCCTATATGTCAGCAAAAACAAAAATTGTCTTATTAGGCTCCTTCAAGAGAACAGCTGGGTACATTCGAAAATAAAAGGTAACTTCTGTCTGGGAAAATTGATACCATAACAAGTTTGTTGAGTATTTTAAATAGTAAACACTGGGGCCGGGATTTAGCTTAGCAGTCTACACACCTGCATGAGATCATGATTTTGATCCTGGTACAAAATAAAAGTTAGTAAACCCTTCAATTTAATTCAAGTCACTTGTCCTTATTTTGGGGGGATGGAAGAGTCAGTAAGTAAGAAGACAAAATGGTTGTAGTCAAGAAAATACTGAATTCTTCTATTAAAAAAATATAAGCTGTACAAGTACAAATTCTCTGTGATGAATGTCATCATTATGTAGATCTAAAATGTATCAATAATATCAGATTGGGAAAAAAACTAAGTTGTAGACTTGGTCCTTTTTTGTAAAAGGTAAATTTCAACTTACCTAGATATGGCCATTAATATTCTTAGCCTCTGCTGCTGCATCAGGAGTTTAATCATACTTCAAAATACCATGTTTTCTTTATTTGCTGATTTAACCTAGAAATAACAGAATGTAGTTAAGAATGTATTTCTTTTAAAACAATGATTTCCTTATGAGATTTCTAGTAGCTCAGTTAACCTAAAGAAACTCAATAAAAGTCTGAAAAATTATTAAAAATTTAATATATAATATACATGTTTTCAAATTAATGTTATGCATATGCTACTATTCCTTTTCAAAACAAAAAGTAAAGATATCATATCTTTAAGTTATTTCTGCCTTCTGCATTACAACAGTGACACTAAACAACTCATTTCTCTACGCTTATCTCCTGAGCCATAAAATGAGAGGTTAGTCTAAACCATCTTCAAGATTCCATTCCTGCTCCAAAGCCCCAGTCTGGCCAGTCGCAGACTCTATTCACTCCAGTGACCTTTTTTAACCCTTCCTTACCATCATCCAGAAGAGCTGACTCTTTAAAAAAAAATCTACCTACCATGTACATCTTTCTATTCTACAAGACCCCCCAGAACCAGTACACAGCAAACAGTAAGACTACGCATGTCATAGAAGTCACAAGACAGTGACATTACAGAAACAAATAAGTCTAAAGTTACAATATATTTTTTGGAAAATTTTCGGTCAGTTTATTCAGTCTTCACAACAAAGAAACAATCAAACTCATTCAAATGGAGGCATTAATACAGTATTTACTGAACACCTATGTTGTATCAGACATTCTGTTAGAAGCTAAAAAAAGAATTTCATTTTAATCTACATACTAATTATGTACATATATGGCTGATACCCAAAATAACACTTCCAAAATCAGGTAGCCGTGCATAGTAAACTATTTACTTATTTACTTCTTTTTGGTTTTTTGAGGCAGGGTCTTGCTATGTAGTTCATGCTGGCCTTCAATTCACTATGAAGTCCAAGATGGCCTCGAATTCATGACAATTATCCTGCCTCAGCTTTCCAAGTGCTAGGATTAGAGGAGTGGTCCACCATGCTCAGCCACAGTGAACAATTTTAACTCTGGATTTTAAATACCCTATACATAAAATCTGCATGTCAGGTGTTTGCTTATACCTCTTGTTAACTATTCCTATAACACACACTTTTAATGTAGGGAGCAAACCAGTACCTCTTTTCTTTTCTTTTTTTTGTCTTTTTCATTTTTATCGGTACCAGGGACCAAACTCATGACCGCCTGCTTGCAAGGCAGGTGCTTATGCCGCTGAGCTAAATCCCCAGCCCCACCAGTACCTCTTTTCCGAGGCTCAAATATATACTCTGCTTGTTAAATCTGCCATAAACCAATTTTATTTGAACACGTATTTGTCTAGCTCTCTCTTCTAAAAGCTTTTAGCCAATTATACCGGCAAATTTCCCTTTCTTCATTCCATTTATATATATTATATTCATATTCCATACTCATCCTGAAATGAGTTTTGCGAGTAAGTAAAATTAAGAAAAACGAGAACAATCCATTCATTTTTAACTCAAAATCAAGGAAAAGTCAAATTGTGAAATGGAGTTAAACATATTAAAAAGAATCAGTATACCAGTCTATAAAGCTCTTTAAAATATTAGAAAATCTCCACTTGAATTTCTGAAAACTTTTATTCTTGGCTTTTTAAAGGTTAATATTTATTCAGTTTATTATCTAATTATTTTGATTATTAACGCTGCTAAAAAGCCATGCAGAGTGGCGCATGCCTGTAATCCCAGCATTTAGGAGGCTAAAGCAAGAGTATTGCTGTGAGTCTGAAGTCACTCTGGGCTATAAACAGTGAGTTCAAAGCCAGTCTGAACTGCATGGTGAGACCTTGTCTTAAAAGGGGCGGGGGATCACTGCTAAAGTATTGTGGAGTTCATGATTATTTTTTATTATTATTTTTATTATTATTTCTTCAGTTCAAATGTTCAGCCTGTCAACTGCAGTAGGGATTAAAAGACTTGTGCCTCATTTAAAAGGAAACATTCTAGGTCCGGGGATTTAGCTCAGTGGCATAAGCATCTGCCTGGCAAGCACGAGGTTATGAGTTCAATCCCTGGTACAAACAAATAAACAAACAAACAAATGGAAATGTTCTACAAGAAAACACATTCTGAATCCCAAACAACAGACATACCAAGACACTCTTAGTATGAACATAACTTAGTGGGCCACTGGAATACTGTCTCTGACTTTGGAGGGTGGACGCCTCAGATACCCTCCATGACTTCTCAAGCCCTTTGGGTTTCTCACCACTGGTGGGAAACTAAAAACCAAAAGGTAATTTGCAGGTTGTAAGGGAAAAGGTGGCTACAGACACTACGGAGCTATAGTGACACTTCGGTTGTCAAACCATTCCAAGTTGTTTGCCCTTTATACAACATATAGTTCTTGTATAATTTTTAGGCCTTAGAACCAGTTATTTGGTTTTCAATTATTTCTGATGGGAAAAGTATGTTCAATTCTCAAACTTTTCAGTATTTAAACACAAATTTGAAACAAACTGAGGTATCACTGTATAATCCTATTGTTAAATAATGAGTGTTTTCCTATAAAATAGGTATATATAATAGCATTAAGTATAATGCCTATTCAAAAAGCATGGCATAATTTTACTAAGAAAATTATCATGAGTCTAAGAAACATTATAGTATCTATTACCACTCTATTTTTTATAGAAAACTAATTTTAAAGCTCCTTAACTATATGTTGGATATCTAATCATTCACAGTATGTCATTTAATCCAAACAAGTACTCTATAAGCTAGCTACTACCATTAGTTCCATACTATAAAAGAACAAACCAGTATCTTAAAAAGTTACTTTTCCAAAAGTCAATTACTAAAGAACAGTCAAAATTAAATCCTCATTTGAATCCGAAAAGTCCTAGCTTTTATTAGTAAAAGACTTAAAACACTTTCTAACATAGAGTAAGTACTCAAAAAATCTTAGCTACTGAAATAATAACCTATCATATAACAATGTTGTAGGCCTTTTATAGTCAGTCAACTTTTCTGTGCCTAAGTTACTGTGAAAAACCAAAAAAATTCTAGATATAACGAAATTTAGAAAAGCATACATGCCTGTAATACCAGCATTGAGGTTGAGGCAGGTGGAATGATTGTTGCAAGTTCGAAGTCAGCCTGGACTATGTAGCAAGATTGTGTGTCAGGAAAAAAAGAAAGGAAGGAGGGAGGGAGGGAAGGAGGCAGGCAAGCAAAGCTAAGCAAAGCAAAGCGCCTTTCAGAAGACAAAGCATCACTATATCACCATTTCAGATAAAGTCCTGTCTTTTTATTTCACAAAGATTTTTTAACATTGGAAGCACAAAACACTTAGAAGTTAAGCACTACTGTTATAACAGCTGTTATATTAAAATACTTAGTAAAGGTGTCCTAAATTTGTCCTCCATCCTACAGAATGACAAGCAAAGAGAACACTGAACTCTTCACAAGTGTGATTATATACTTGGTCCTTAGGAAGGCATCTTTGCTCTTTTAGTTCACTAGCACTGAGGACAAATTTGGCTTATCCTACTGTAGTTCTTTTCAAATATAGCTAGGGCAGAGTATCTGCAGATTTAGAAGCAGAGAAATTAACTAAATTTAGGGCACAACTAACTGCTATGTTTAATTATTTAAAATATCAAGAAAATGGTATTCAAAAACTACTGATTTATGTCAATATTCTAGCTGGGTTTTAAAAAAATCATTGGGTAGGTCTTTTTTTATTTATGCATACCAGTTTTCTGCTTATTCTTAAAAATGATCAAGATTTTTTTATTAGTGATATTATTCTGAGGTAGAAGAGTTTTAGACAAAGCCAAGAAGGGAGATCTTAAATATATTCTTCTAGTTACCTAAACCAGACCTGTTATATGAAAACCAATCACCTGCAACACTGTTTCCATGTGCGCTGGAATTTTAAAGCACACAAACACACATAGAACTGCAGAAGTACATGAGCCAGGTGTGGTGATGCATGCCTGCAATCCCAGCACTTGGGAGGCTGAGGCAGAATTACCACAAATTCAAGGTCAGCTTGGGCTACATAGTGAGTTCAAGACCAGCTTCAACTATATAGTGAGACCTTGTCTCAAAAAAAAAAAAAAAAAAAAAAAAGTACATATTTTTAAGCATCTATCTCTGAATATAGTTATATGTGAACATACTTACATATTCAATAGATTTTTCTGTTCCTTTTATTCTGAGGCAATGTTGGTTCATACCCTCCACCTACTCACCCCCCCCTCCTTTTTTTTTGTCTTTTTCGTTTTTATCGGTACCAGGGATTGAACTCATGACTGCCTGCTTACAAGGGAGGCGCTTATGCCGCTGAGCTAAATCCCCAGGCCCCTCACCCCTTTTAATGCTTGAAAAGAAATCAATTATATTACCTATAAATCACTTCAATATTTGATTTTTTTTTTTTTTTTTTTTTTTTTGGTACTTAGAATCAAACTCAGGACCTTGCACTTACCAGGCAGATGCTTAGGCTGCTGAGCTATTTCCCCAACCCAGTCATTTATTTTTTTTAAATAATGCCTGATCTACATTCCTTAAACCAGCTGGGTGTGGTGGTACAAGTTTGTAATTCCAGCATTTGGGAGGCTGAGACAAAAGGATCACTGGGAGTTTATAGTCAGCCTTTGTGGGCTACAAAGTTGAGTTCAAGGCCAGTTTTAATTGCATATTGAAATGCAGTCTCAATAAATAAATAAGACACCTTATGCTAGATTCCTTCATTTTCCCTTAAGAGACAAGTAAAACCAGATAGATCAAGACAGATTAACCCCATGTTGATGACTACTTAAGGCAGTATTTATTTCAGATATAATTGTTTGTATTATGAATTATTAACAAAATGAGATAAAAATAATTTGTAGACTATCAATATTAAAGAGGGAATTTAAAAATGCATTCATTTCTTCATCTGTCCATTAAAGCATCAAGCATTGAGCTAAATGCTAGATATAAAGATGAAAGACATTCCCTGATTCCCTGATGTTATTATTGTCCCGTGGAAGAGTCACTGATCTATATCCTAGTGCTACAA